TTCGGTTCGGGGTGGTGGTAAAATGGTCGGGGCGCTCGTTTCTGGACCTGTCTGTGTGGGATTTGTGGCTCAGATACGCCACCGCATCGTATATCATGCACGATAAACACATCCGTTGTGAAATGTCCGTGGCAGTCGGTGAGACATGAAGCTCCAATCATTGTTATCAAGATTTAAGCCCTCGTCAACGGCGTAGGCCTCCTATAACATGGCAAAACTATAATATGGCAAAATAGGGATGGGTCTTGAGCGACCGAGGTTGTCGCGGCAGGCCAGTAAAGACACTCCCGTCAACGGTGTAGGGTCCTCAGGGAAAACGAGAAGAGCCTAAGACCAATATGATGGGGTCCCTGGATCATCGGGACAACCCGGCAGGCTAATATACAGGGCCCGGCCAGAGCGCAGGACCCGCTGAATAAAGGGAAATAACCGAAGACTAGTGTGCATGAATGAATGTCCCCGCGCGATCAAGAGTGTCCGGGCAGTTTAACGGAAAAAAACCTGGCAAGAGTAAAGGGTCCTCCGAAAATGAGTTTAAAGCGAAACCCCTAGATCATTGTAGAGGGCCGCTGAGCATCGAGTGTCTCCGTGCTTTACCTTACATGGGCCCCAACAACAGGAAAGCAACTGTCGGAGTAAGTAGAGAGAACCCGTTTATAATATGAAGGGCACGTGAGCAACAGAGTGTACCCCGGCATATGGGGTTCCTGCAATAACGTATAGAACAGTTCGGGCGAATGTGAAGAACCCTTGGAGGACCCTTGATCAATTTAAGGGAGTGTTCCACATTAATATGAGGGTTTGAACTGCAATAGTCATTTTGGAGTCGCTTCGGTGCTGTTCACAATCCTGCTCTTCTTTAGATCTAAGCCCGTCTAGTTTCTGAGCTATACGCCCGCTGAAATGGAACACAATTTATCGGAGAGAATATTTCAAAGTCACCTTGGCATTCATGACGTCATAATAACGTCATTCAAATCCCACCATTCAAAAAGCCATGCGGCGATCAAGGCCAAACGAAATATGATTGTCGAGGCGTTCATATCTGGCATTCGTGAGCGCGATCTCCAGATACACCCAATTGGCTCTTCATCAATGTTGTGCAAGGTACGATGACATAATCAAACTATGACGGATTGAAGACCACATTGACTGAACAGAGAACTGCGCTGCGTAGAGCGGTTCTTTCCACTTAAAAAGCATGCCAGTTGTTATAAGAGAGCTTGTTTCATTATATCTGATGCTTGCTTCAATATATTTAACTGTGAAACGTTCACTTTAAGAGTGCCCGCGCATGCAAGCGTATAGTAGGACCCCACAGGATGTACGCAAGACGAAATGTACAGGGTCCCAAACAATCGAATGCCCCCGAGCAGTTCAACAGATGGGGCCCCCAACAGGAGCGTAGGGCCCTCCATTCACAAAGGAGGGCCCTCCATTCACGTACCCAAGACCAAATGTGAAGCTCTCACCCCTCCCCCCCCCGCAAGATAGAGTGCGCCCGAGCGGGTTGACAGACTGAGTCCCGTCAAAAGCGTAGGGCCCTCAAAAGTCAATAGGAAGTACCGAATACTGAGTGTGATAGGCCACAAAACGATCGTGCGTGCCCGAACAGCTTAACAGATGGGGGCCTCCGACAAGAGCGTGAGGCCATCCAAAGGGACCCCCGACCGGTCGAGCGTGCCCGAGGTGAGGTTACCAGATGGGACCCCGGCAAGAGAGAAGGGCCCTTCATCGAAATAAGAAGTGCCCAAGACCAATGCGTAACAAAAGAGCCCCCGTACGATCGAATGTGCCCGCGCAGGTTGACAGATGGAATACCTGATAAGAGCGTAGAGCTCTCCGCATGTGACAGGGACCTGGAGGGGCCCTAGATGAATGTAGAGGGCCGATGAGTATGTCACGTGTGTGTCGATAGGTTAATCTAAGCCAACGTGACAAGTCACTGAGCATCCTCGAATATTTCGGCAGTTTAACATACGGAGTCCCGACTACAGCGTTTAGAGCCTTTCGGACCAAGATAAAAATCTGTGGAACGTCTCTGATCAACAAGAGTGTCCCAACATTTCAGCTGGAAGGGTCAGGACCGCAGTACGGGCCCTCCAAGCAAATGTAAGGAAGTCAAGGGCCACGTGTAAGGCTCCTTAGAGATCGGATTCACCCTGCAATCTGACCTATAAGGCTCCCAGAAACAACGTAGTGCCTCTGGACAGCGTTACAAACCTTACAATCTGTCAATAACCACCCTCTCAGTCAGTGAATAATGATTTGTATTTGTCCGTGAGCTATTCACTTTCGCTTGCGACTGTCGCTTCGCTTGCCCCCTAGAAGCTCAAAGACGTCCAATTTTGTTGCGCTTGGTGTTAAAAACTACCTCTGTTGGGCCGGTTATGTCCCCTTCGGAGCCCATAAGCCCCTTTGGGGCCCAAGAGCGGACATGGTCTCGTGCCCCTCCCCCCCCCCCCCCGTCCTTCTGGATCTGCCCTGACAGTTAATAGCGCGACACTTCACATACTTCAGAGAACTCACGATTAAAATAAGTAAAGTCATCCTGCTATGCCAGACATGCGGTTTTTCATTGCTTTGAATGAGATTACCATACGCAATGAAGGTCTTGAACTGCTGGTTCTTCGACATCGCAAGTAGAGAGATCTTATTTGACAACTATCAACCTTCAATATGCCAGGAGGTAATGGTAAAACGACGTCATCTCAACGTTTCGAAAATGTTCTCAAGGTCACGGTTTTACTAGTACCTCCTGGTTCCTCGAAGACTGATTACTGCCAGAATAATATCGTTCAACCCATGACGCTTCAGAATACTAAAATGTGTTAAAGGTGTGCAGCACCATAAATGTGGGACACCGCTTTCAGTCGGTACAGATTACTCGCCACTAAAATTATTTCACATCAATTCCTTGATTCGCCTTCATTAGACAGCGGTCGCAGCTATGTCTAGCTGAAAATAGCTGCATGTTACCAGTTCGTTCACAAAAGTATCCATCACCATAGCAGTTGTATGCGCATGCGTGGATAGCAGCATTCGGCTGCTGCGGCAGCAGCGACATCAACTTTCATTGATATGGTCTTGGTTTTTAGTGATGTTCCCACTAAAGAAAAACGACGATTCTGACCAACTTTTTTCCCATATTTCCCATCGCTGCCTGTGTGTCTGTATATTCCGTGCGTGTGCAGAGGGGATGCGGCGGCGCGCGCCGGCCGGCCGTCGGGCCGCGCGCGCTCCGGAGCCGCTAATGGGCGATCAGCTGTCTGAGGTCAGGGACGGGTCCAGGGGCGGCACATGGTGTGGACGGCGCAGACTGACGCTCGCTGGGAACGTTGACTGGTGTGACGGGCCACGCGGCCGGGCGATCAGTGACGTGTGCTCTAAATTGCGCTCAGGTATTTCTGAAACCGGTCGAGAGCCATATGATACTAAGATAACCCTGACTTCAACCACGTTTCCGCGAAGACTTATGCGCTAGCCAGAACCAAAATTAGCAGTATACTCTAAGGATGCATCTCTAAATGCAAATTTCCAGCTCCTTCGCTAGTTGCGTTTTTAAGATCAGATTGTTCGTGATTTACTGAGCATGTAGGCTCCTTAGTACTATAAAAGAGTGCCTTCATGCACTTCTTAGCGACAGTTTGATGCATGAAACTGAATCTTGATTCAAGTCAACAATACAGGCTAATAAAAACAAAAACGTCTTTAGTGCACGCACTGTGTAATGCTTTGTGAGCACTATATGAGCCAGGACGTCTTTAACTGTCCAACAAACAACTAAGTTAGGCCTGAATATGGGCGAATGCCGACAGATGTTCTTAAAGTGCTGCAATAGACACACATATGTCAGCAAGAATGAAGCTACATTCATTATATACTGAGGGCGTAGATCACGTTTCTTTAGGGAGGAGCAGTCTTTTGCCAGTCTTCGTGAATTAGAGGCTTTTTGGATGAATTGGTTCTTGCACTGGGAGGAGGGGCGATGCACGCATTGAGGCACCAAAGCTTCAAAAGCGATGGAAAGCTCTGGCTCTGCCCATGAGACCGGTCCAGCCTGATGGCATTGCCATGGGTTCGAGGAGAATCGATGCATCGCCGTGCACTTTGCCGAACAACACACTTGCCTCCTCAAACAGATGGCGCTAGAGCAAAAATGAAATGAGACCGAGATGGCAGCACTATGCAGCAAGGCCGACACAACGCGTCCCGCGGCAACGAATCGGTCAAAAGCCCGCGCTCTCTTCTCGATCGATCAGTTTATGCAGTACGATCGTGTCAAATAATATTCTTAATTACGAATGGTTCATGACCTCCAGCAGAGCATGCGCCGCAACAAAGCAGTTATAATCAGCAGCAATTCACGTTCTGAAAGTTGGAGAGCGGGAGGCTTCGGCTGTTTTCGTCAACTTTTTCAGCCAAAGCTTTGCAGTCAAAACCGTTTTCGGAGAGCTTGAGGGCTCGGCCGCCCTCCCCCTCCCCAACCCCGGTTCCCATATTCCCGGTTACAAAACAAGAAACATCATCGAGCAGTACATGATAACATCTTTTAAGTATTGCCAAGCATTGTTGACCATTTTCAACCCTCTCTACCTGGTTAGACACCGAAAGGAAAAGGGCGCAAACCTGGCGGAATTAAGAGGGGCGCCCCCTTCCTCCCCTCCTATGTTTCAGACGTCCAGCTCCCATAGAGTTAACGTCTGTTCGGTCACATACTCGACGTCGTTAAAGTTCGTGATTGTTTAAGGTATACACGTATTACCTGTTATAGGTTAACGCTGGAAATGTTACGGCTCTTAAATATCGGCTCGCTGCTGATATGTTGGGGTTGTTCGGTGGAGGCTAGAAACCGACCACCTACGGAATATATTTCCAACCATTCACCGCACACGTTTTTCCACGTCCTACTAGCTCGCGGTAGACACTCAGTGCGTCTGTTTTGTAACACAAGCTTTGTACACGTCTCATTTCCTTACTGGTGCTCCGGGTGCTGTGGCGGAAGTGGTCGCCGTCGGGTGTCGGAGGTCCTTGCATTGTGTGATAATATCGGCGGCAGAGTATCCGGCGTGGCCCAAGAATTACAGTATCTATTGAACCCTTTTGAGTGGTATTGAGCTTCTTTGGTGATCTAGATAACTTGGTGCGCTGAAGTCCAGTTGTTTAGTCATATTTTGTAGTAACCTGTGTCAGCAGAAACGTTATTTGTATCGTTGGACTGCTTAGCTCGTGGGTATGAATCTGACAAGTACTAAGGTATTGTGTGTTATTGCATGCCTATTGGTAAATGTAGCTGTATGCAAAAAATCTGAAGAGGGCAACAAACCAAAATGGGCAAAGAAAAAGCTTCAAGACTACAATGATGTTGACTTGGAGCGGTTACTGGATCAGTGGGAGGTATGCTGTGGTTTTATATTTTTTTCTGAAGCCATTGGTTATGCAATGGACATTTTCAAACCATCTGTCTTGACAATCTAGTGTATTCTTGGCATACATTATGTTGAATTTGTCATCCAAGGCAAAAGCATACCTTTTGTTTCATTTCAATAGCATTCCTTGTATTCCCTGTATAACTGATGCAGTGTAATGACAGTGAAAACAGTATTTGTGCCCACTCACCCTGCATATCACTCCCTGTACATGCATGTATGCACATTCACATTGGTTGCTTATGCCTATACATTAAAGGCAGATGATGGTTCATGGTAGAATATATTTATGTAAAAAGTAAGGTGAGTAATGGAATTGGGCTGCTGAAAATAAATGTTGAAATACATGACAAATGGTAATGATAAAGCAACAATTGAATTTGTCAGTGAAATGTGAGCATACCCAGACATAGCACCACTGATTGTGTGTTGCAGGTGGCAGTGATAGATGGGGAGCCACATATGTAAATGGCAGTATATTGTAATGAAGGTGTGGCTGGTTCTGACCATGGGAGGCTGCTAATTGTATGACTAATACATGACACAAGGCATGAAAGTAGTTATAATAATGAAATCAAACATGGTGTTGAATGGATATTGACATAAATTTGACAAATACTGGTGCAGATTTCAGCCTATCTTGTTTGAGGTGTTTTATTAATCTGACAGCATCGGTCATTTGCATTAGCTTAGCATAGGCTAGCCCACATGTACAGCTTTGCTAACATCTGCACATGGACCTATCTGAGACAGTATGTGAAATGCTGAAGAATGTGTGCCTGCTCATCTGCTTTCATTGAACATGGTGCTCCACTTCAGGAGGATGAAGAGCCACTGCCTGATGATGAGCTGCCTGAACACCTCAGAAAGCCTGAACCCATGGATCTTTCAAATGTGAGTGTTTAAATGCATATACATGTGTATGGTTGGAGTAATACAACCAAGGTATGTAGTTGGGCTCTTTGAGGATATTCATACCTAGTATGCAACATGACATCTAAACCTTTACTTGTACTTTCATTTGCCAAAAGGTGACATCTTAGTTTTCTTGTCAGCATGGTGTTGTCCAACACAAAAACTAGCCAAAATTTGATGTGAAAAATTCAATCTGGATCTTTATTTTGAATCAAGATCCTGAAAAGGAATGGGCCACCTGAAAAGGAATCAGGTGGCCCATCATTCTGGAGGAGGCTGTTACTGAGTGATATATTTGGTTGAGCTGAGATTGTATGTCCATTTGTACACCACAATGGCACATGGGCTCAGAATCCTTGATATGTCTGTCAGATTGAGATTTTACCTGTCAATATTTTGGGGTCAGATATCAACAGAAATGGGTATAAAGATTGTAAGAATTTGTACAAGTGGTGCCAAGTATCATTCTAATAAAGTTTCCTTTTTCTTTAGTTGGACACTTCAGATCCTGAAAAGCTTTTGAAGCTCACAAAGAAGGGGAAGACACTGATGATGTTTGTGACTGTGGATGGGAAGGCAGATCGAGAGGAAACAGAACGGATCACAACCCTGTGGCAGGGAAGCCTGTTCAACAACCACATTCAGTGTGACAGGTAAGAGACAGGTGAAACCAGAAAAACATGATGAAACCAGATGTAAACAACAGTATTAATCAAACATATGGGTGAGTGTTCTGAGCACATTCATCAAAAGTAATGTTGATGCTGCATTGACTTTGCATTGTCATGCAAACTTAATTTGATCTACCCCCTACAATACTGCAGTATAGTTGCCTTACCAGACACCCATGTCTGACCTCACTACAGAAATGCACATGGGTGACATCAGTTCAAAGAGCAAGTGTTGCATGTATGGGTGAAAATTATGTTGAGTTGGTGCGTGATTAGTTGGCTGAAAACCTACATCACACCTATCAAAATCCTGTCAGCCGGGGTTCCTTTGTTATGATGCCTGGCAAACCCAGACACATGATTTGAAGTGGATGGGAAAGTAAACCACTCTGTTGCAAGCATTTGAAGTTGTGCCATCTCCTTGATGTTACTACTCCCATTGATGAGTGGATGTGTTTTGGACACACTTCATTTGTCTGTTTCATTTTATGTGTAAACCTTCATGTTTGTCTGGTGATGTCAAAACAGCAGTAGCGCCAGCTGTACCGACCGCCGCACGTTTTGTCATAGTCGTCGCGTCTCATCTTGTCCTCCGCCATTTTGTCACAGCCTCATGAATACCTTCTGATGAATGCTGCAGCCTCCCGAAAGTGTTCTACCATGCAGTCAGCGTAGTCGTGCGCAGAGTATGATGAGAGGGGTGATGGCAACCGACGCTAACGCCCATGGCATACACCGCTGGGGGTATCTAACGGGTTTGTTGGTCTTCCAGATTCCTTGTCGACGACAGCAGGGCGATCTTCATGTTCAAGGACGGCTCCCAAGCGTGGGACGCCAAGGACTTCTTGGTGGAACAAGAAGGGTGCAAAGAAGTCAGCATCGACAACAAGATCTACGAGGGCCGATACAAGGTGGGTCCAGAGCGCAGGTCGATGGGCAGAGAGGTTCGCCGCGAGCACTCGTACTCGTGGGCTTGCTGGATTTTGGCTGTTCTGTTTGTATCAGCGGATGACAGAAGTTTGCGCCATTGAAGGTAGCAGGGGTGCTGCGGCGCGGCGATGGTTTGCCTGACGCATAACTAAGGGAATGGGTGTCCGGAGCTGGCTACCTGCTACGGCACGGCTAATGTGATAGTGATGGGTGCTACCTGACGTCTACCAGCCGATACGCCCAAAAGCCCAAACTCATCACCGTCTTATTGCTGCTAGAGGCGGCGTGCCGGTTGCAACGACAGTGGCTCAAGCCGTCACCCATGCGTAATGAAGCCCACAGCCGCTATAGTGACATGCATGGCAACACCAGCCTGATGTCACAGGTGGCAGGTGATCAGGAAATACGCCGGTTTCGGCGTGAGATGTGCGGTTTAGTTCAGAATTGTGCGTTATTTCTGGCGAAGCGGGAGTTGAACATGAATCACCTAGATATTGGCATAGTTTAGGCAAAGGCGATTTCTGCGAAGAAAGCTTAGTGAATCGAGTAGGAACTGGAAGATTCTTGTTATGAGAATCTAAAAAACGCAAATATTGTTTCACACGGACGATTTTTTCGGGTTGTAACACCACGACCGTATGCCCGTAACTCTGGGTCTGATCTGTACTGACAAGTGTGTCGGGACCGTTGTTTCAGCCTGAGAAGAAGAAGAAGGCGAAGGTGGAGCTATGATGACCCGCATGCAACGGGTGATGTTGTGGGGTGACGTCACAGAGAGCGGACCCAATGGTGGATCGAGCGGACCCAATGGTGCGCTGCGCCGACAGGCGGCGCAGCGCACTCTCGCCGCCGGGACAGGCGAACGGTGCCAACGGAGGAAGGCACCATGCGCCGCGTGAAGGCTCTCGGTGCTCATGTTGAGACTCATTGCGGGGAACAATCGCGTATTTTGTAAGCGTTTTGTATGATGCAGTTGCTTGTCCCTCATCGTTGTTTGCCAGATCGGTTTGGTTGATGTTTGGAGCCGCTGTTTTTTTTCTTGTCATACCGGATGATTCAAGATAACGTACTTTAGTACTTATTCGACTGAAGAAGTCTTCAGTGATACTGGGTTGTGGAAGGAATTATAAGGCAAGAGGCCCTTCCTGGAGAGCACCCTTCTCGGAGGATGCATGGAAATGTTACGTTCGCACATGGCATAAGGATCTGACGGTAGGAAATACAGGGGTCGGGAGATGGTTCGCATGGTTGTCAATCCCCGCACGTCTCGCTCCAAGGCTCTGGGGAGACAAGTGACACAATGTTTTAATACCGCTCCCTATTTATCATCGCACAAACGCTCTTGACGGCTTGGGATCAGGACCTAGAGTACATCGCAAACACCAGGTGACTAGTAAATCAACGCATACGACGGGCCGTCGCCAACAAGTAACAACGACAGCCTTTGCATACTGCTCCGTGTTTCTCAGCGACGTCCCACGTTATTCATCCGTGCTACCGCCATGCCACACCTAAAACTGTCCTGTCATTGCACGGCGACGCAGGTCACAGGCGCCTCGGGGGCCAGCCCGGTAGTCGCCTATCCAAGCCCCGTCTTCTCTGACGGGGGCGGCGGCAACCGCTCACCCCACCTCACTCTGGCGGCGGCATCACTGCTGCCTCGCCTCATCCCCACAACCCCCAGCGGCCGGCGGCCCGGCCGGTCGCAGCGCCGGGTCACGGACTGCCGCGGGCGCTGCGGCGTGCGGTCAGTCGACGCGCGACGCACTGTCGTCAGCCGGCCGGCGCACCGCCGGGCTCAGGTACGTCGCCTTGCTCTCGGCCGCCAGCCAGCCGTTGTTGCACGCCTTGGTGCGCACGTACACGACCTGGGCGAGCGGGCGAACCGTCGTGGTGACGTCACGGAAACGACGGAGGTACACGCATGCGGAATCGCTTTTGGTGGCGTTAAAGAAGACCGATTTCCGGGTCATCCGCCCATACGCATCGTCTGACCACCTGCGCGCCGCGTCACGCACTGCATCGGGCCTTCACTATCGCGGCGTTCTTCCAGGCACAGACAGGATTTGCCAGACTCCTTAAGCATTCGTCATCGTAGCGTCTCGCTCCTGCGCTAGTCTCGGGAGCAGCGAGCGACGACCGCGCGCTTTGCTCACCTGGAATCCGACCAACGAGCCCAGGATGCCAGCCGCCATGACGTTCAGATTGCCCGGTCGCGACGACGGCAGCTTGTTCTTCAGCAGGCTGACAGCCATGTACGTGGCGGAGAAAGCTGCAGCCACCGGTCGAAGTCAGCGGCATGGTTGGAGAACGCGGCACGGCAGGTGCGGTGCGGGCCAGAGCAGCTTGGGCCGGAATCACCGGGGTTTCGCTAACTCGCCATTGAAAGGTGTTCGGCACAGCGACCTTGCCACACCGATTCCCATCAACATTCTCTGCCGGTTGCCAGATGCACGACTAAGCGAAGGGGCGGCACTCCCACTGCATTGCGCCAACATTTCGTCCTCATCCTATCTACGTACTCTTCGCAGCATCCGCCCGTGCCTCTTCAGCGAGAAGACGCTCCGCCAGGGTCCAGACCGACGCCCCATTGACGGGCACTCATTGCCAAGATGGGCCGCTTGAACAGGGCGCCTCTTAGAAAACGGCATTACAGTACAGCGGGTACGCCAGCGTTGCTGAGTACAGATGAAACGCATGATGGTCTAACGGACACACCGGAGGTGGAGTACTCACTGATGCACGTGGAAGCCAGTCCCGATATGAACGTCCTCGACATGCACTCTGTGTAGGACTTGAGGTGTGGGAATTTCTCCTTGTACTGCTCGGTCACCTCGTCCAAGTTATTCATGATCAGCGGAGGCGAGAAAGACGATGAGCTCACGTGTTCCGTGTATTTCTGAAAGCAAAACATTTATCTGCTATGAGCGGGCTCAGTTTCAAAAACGGCATGCTGAGCTAAGCACGTGAGGCCGCGGCATGCTAAGCCACAGACATCAAGAGTTCGTCGGTGTCAAAACAAAATATAGCATGCAGTTTCGAACACCTAAGTTCGAGTAATCACAACCGTTACCAAGGTACAAAAAACTAGCACCATACATTGCGACGTGCACTTAGCCACGAGTTATACAAAAGCACATTTGTGACGCGTTATAAAAAGGGCACACAGCGCTCTGCAGCATTTCACACTCGTCGTTATCGCGCCGCCTCACTTTCACTGACATTTTTACGGGACTAGCAATTCAGTGTAAATCACACCACGTGTGCCGTAAAAAAGATGAGAAATGGTGTCAACTCGGGAACTGGCTGACCCGAAAATGCTGCGGTTTGGACGCACATGGCCCAATTAAACGCTTGCACCGCACCAGGTCCTCAACACATACAGCCTTAGCAAAGCTCGACGACATGTGACAAAACAATACACAACTGCTTGGACCGGATGGCTTGACAGGTACAGAAGGGGAGATCGTCTTCCTACCGACCACGCAGCGCGAGAAAAACTACAGCCCACCACCAGCCGTACAAAAGCAGCGCATGGACCTGGCAAAACTCGCCATGCAGCCGGACAAGGCACAGTCAGTAGCGTTGGTAGCTGTCTCATCACCCACAGGACGGAAGGCGTGAGTTTCTCTAACCTACGTTGACGTCGCAGACACAAACCGAGGAATGCCATCACCTCTCCCTTCTCCATCACCGAGGACGCGCCGAAAGACCAACATACGCTGACAGTTTTAAAACACAGCGTGGCTTCCGGGTGCATGTCGATCACAACACATGAAGTGTGCTGAAGTGGCGGCCATACAAAACACAAAGCATAGCCGCCGACAACACTGCCACAGTCCCGACAGCATTGCGCGGCGCACAGCGCCCGGCTACAGGAGGCCAGTTCGCTGGCGCCGCCGCCGCGCCGCCTAGTCGGTGGCTGACTTCCGGACGAACTCCGCGAGCGCCGACATGTCGCCGGGCTCGTCGGCGGGCGACAGGCGCGTGAACTCGATCTCGTCCGTGCGGCTGTCGACCGCGCCGGCGCCGGCCGGCCAGCGCTTGTGCGACGGCGCGTACAGGCAGATGACGGCCATCGTGTAGACGTTCCACATGCCGTACACGCCCGTGAGCACGGCGGCGGTGTACTCCAGGGTGTTGTCCTCGTCCCACTTCCAGTAGCCCTCGGCCACCTGGCCCAGCACGAAGCCGACGACTGTCATGGCTGCGCACGTCAGCGTGGCCAGCATCAGGAACTTGAAGCGGTAGATGATGCCCTCGTAGTGCAGCCGGCGCACCGACGACATGGCCGGCAGCGCCTGGCGCTTGTCGCTGATGTTGCAGAACACGCGCCAGATCATCCAGCACAGAAAGCAGAAGTAGAGCCCGGCCGACACGGCCGCCATCACGATGAAGCTGAAGGCCAGGTTGGTCCCCACCTTGGTACCCCAGATCGAGTAGAACGGGTTGGTCAGCTGCACGCCGCGCTCACACATGTCGAAGATGAGGAGGGAGAGGCAGCCGCAGAACACGGCCGACAGGTGCTTCCAGTAGTCCCGCAGGCGGCTGCCGTCGGCCCGCTCAGACACCAGTAGGTGCTCGCCGGCGAACACGAGCCAGAACGAGAGCAGCACCGCGTAGAACACGCCCTGCCGGATGTCGGTGACGAGCAGCATGTACGGCATGTCGAACCGCAGCGTCAGGAACTCCAGCGGTACGTTGAGCACGCTCAGCGCCACGCCCAGCGCCATCAGCATGCACTCGAGCAGTGCCGGCTCTCGCGGGAGACGCCGCACGCGCCGCCAGAACCAGACCAGCAGCAGCACCACCAGCGGGAAGAAGGCCGTCTTCATGGCCACCCACACCTTGGTGAAGCCGCCGTTCTGGTGTATGGCCACCAGGTTGAAGTCGCCCAATTTGCCGAGCTGGGCATTGCGGCCGGTGCGCTCGTCGGTGGGCAGGCGCAGGTTGAGCAGGTAGTAGTCGTGGTGCAGCGAGCCCAGCTCGAACAGCGGCACCAGCTGGCAGCTGTAGCGGTACTTGTGCTCCGGCTCCAGCACGCAGTCGAGGTGGCGCTCCTCCACTGAGGCAGCCAGCAGGCTCCAGTCCTCAGTAGGGTCGCCCTTGTTCTTGTAGCCGAGCCGCAGGTCGAGCGAGAGCGAGGCGTTCTTGGCGAGCCGGTTCTCCGCGTCCGGCACGATGTCCAGCTGCAGCACGCCGATCAGGTTCTGCTGCCAGCGCGTGAAGTCCAGCAGCTCCCGCCTGCGCGGCGGCAGCTGAAAGGCCACCACCACCTGGTCGGAGGACAGGTCCGTGCCCACTAGCTCCTCAACGGACTCGACACTCTCGCAGTGCTTCTGCTGTGATGGGATGCCCCAGACCTGCTGCCAGCGGTGCGGCTGGCGCTCGCGGTCTACGCAGACGGTGCCCAGTACGTCCAGCGCGGCGGACGGCGGCGGCGCCAGCAGGCCGCCCAGCAGGAAGCAAGACGCCAGGAAAGTCAGCAACAGCAGGCACAAGCGCTGCCAGCTTTCTGCCACTTAGGCTCTCCACCACAGCGCCCGGCATGGTGCGCCAGCTGACCAAGCTGCCTGATCAGCTTCCCTCACAGCACCAGTAGCTGCTCTACAGCCAGGCTGCAACAGGGTCTGTCACAACTGCAGTTGCAGGTCATTGAGCCTCTGGACCGCTGAAAGTCACTTGATCTGTCCAGGTTTGACTGACATTACTTCATCTCCAGATAGTCCCCTTCCAGCTGATTAAGATGCTGCTGATGTTGGCATCTGAAATTTGGTTAGCTAATGTCTGGACACAATGCCACAATCAAACATTTTCCATGCATGCATGCATCTAACGAGATCGGTTAATATCTGTAAACAACACAAACACTGCATTGTTGTGCATATATTCCATGCACATTCAACAGCAATCTACTCTTACTATTTGCAATAGACAGCAGCTGGTTCTTGTTGGCCACACCAATCTACAATGATGCTCTGTAATCTGCATGTGACTAACGTCAATGTTGAGCTGTTCTATTTGCCGAGCGGTACATAACCATTGCAACACTTCGCTACATTGAAGCTGTATAGGTCTAAATTGAAATGCTTAATATCTGCTTCTAATACATGCACAATAGCCACTTAAATAATAGCAAAGATTGCATCATAATTTAAGCTCTTTAATAAAAAAACTGGCAGCCATGACAGGTTGAAGTAAGTGAGGCAGAAGCAGGAAGTGTGGCAGGTAATTCATATTTGACATAAGATGATCAAAAGGTCAGAACTACTTGCAAAATTGAAATGAAATTGAAAGGGCAAAATGAAGACAATTCACAAGGTTGCTGCTTGTAAATTAACAGAACTGTCAATGCTGCACTACATGTTAACATCTGAACAGGGGAGATCCAGCAGGGGGGGGGGGGGGGGCAAGAATATGTCCATGCATTCAAAATCCTGGAGAGACCCTCTTGCCTTCACTGAACATTGTGTAGCTGCCCATGTCTCAACAAATTTAAGCTTAAAGAGGCCTCCATAGCTGAGCTATCATAACTTCTGTATCAAGCGACCTGTTTCCTGGATCAGGGTACTCCATTTTGTGCTAAGGATGCTTAAGGAGCAGTCCCATGCTCTGTATAAGGAGGCATCTAGTTGTATCAGGGGGTCCCTATTCTGGATCAGGGGGCTACTCTCATGGTTCAGAAGGCCACTGCTCCCAATCAGGATGCCCTGATTGAGGAAAAATTGTCTTTTACAGATCTGGAGTTCCAGTTTGATAATCAGGTTTGTGTTTTGAACGAGGAAGTTCATTTGTGCATCAGAGGGCCATTTGGGATAGCACAGGATTCCTTGTCCTGGGATAGGGGGAATGGGTAGGTGGGTACTGTTGCCATGAGCCTCACATCTCCTAAAGCAGGCGCTAGAAGCATTCACCAATATTTTGAGCATGAGGTGATGCTAATGTCGCACGGAATTCGTACTAGATTCAGTTGATTCAGACTGCTTTCGGGAGTGCCTGCTCTCGCCCTACTTAAAATCCTTGGCACTGCCTCCGCCTCTGAACCTCCCTTCCGAGAAAAACCGACAGCCTGGGAAGCCTTCTAACGATACTTTTACTTCGACCACGTTCATAGAACATCCGCATTGTACCGTCTTACCTTCGATACAACAACCGCTATCCCGCAGTCCCCACGACGCTACCCGCCCGAGGCCACTGTGCTATGTTTTGCCACGGTTACGCAAAAAGGCTCGCGTCGGGGTGGTACGCAAGCGTGGATGAAAATAATTCCGGATCAGCTGATGTTTCGGAGATACTCGGCAGGTAGAGGACCGTCAGCTGACAGGAACAATTGATCTAACTGTCAAAATTCAAGCTCGTTACTCATTCGAATCGTAACATTTGATTATATATGAATGAACTAAAATATGTCACACACTCTGTAATTTGAACTATTTTCTGCTGGCTAGTTATACCCGAAGTCGTTGTCCAACCAACACCAGCTGAGCAGAATCATCCACGCTGGTCTGTCCTGTTGCTCCGGCGCAGTATTTATATGACGCCTTGATTATGCCTTGCCCGCCATGTGCGCGGGGGAGTGCATTCGTGGTGGGCGTGTGCAGTGGTATTGGGAACGTAATAGGCGGTGTTTCAAAGAAGAGTCGTATTCCATGCACATTTTATGTGTGGTCCATGGAGGAAAAAAGATGTCTCAGTCCGCTACGTACCTGCCCTGCAGACATGCGGCGACCTCAATTTGGGACAAATGCCTGAGTTTTCAAACGAAATTTCCGTGTTAATTTCCTTAAAATTTCCATTACCAGGTCGAACTTTTTGAACCAATGACTCGATGGATTGAAATTAGTGAGCGCTACTAATTTCAGCACATAATTATCTAATGTCCTGAGGAGTTTTGAGTTGCAATGGCAAGCTGTATCATAAATATGCTCCCAAAATTTGAAGACTTATGATGTACTTTCTCTGAAATTGTTAGTGCAATGCTTCCTCTACATTGCAGATGTTGAGCATTAAGTGTATATTTGCAGTCTGGCCTGTACCCTGAAGGCAGTGCAATTTTGATGTGTATCTTACTGTGGAATCAAATGTGTTGTAAATGTTCTAAATGAGTAAAATTTTTCATAATTGTGGAGTGTGGTAAAACATAGGGACAGGTTGGGAAATTGAGTTTTTTATGGTGGTGGAGTACAATTTTTTGTGGTTGGGGTACAAACTTGTCTGCAAGCAGAAGTCTGTCCAATGTGGAATGAGTGTCTGCACAATGGGCCCTGGTTGGAGTACATTACACACAGCCTTTAATGCATCAACATTTTCCCAGTGTTTTTCTGGCAAAAATTAGTGTCAGCATGCCATTTGCATTTCAGTGGAACAGAGCACTTCTTGTGAGTGAGGATGCTATGCTGATCCCATCCATTTATTTTCCCCTATGATCCTATGCAGGGAAAATTTTAATAGTGTCACTGCAGGACCTTATGCCTGACAGCAAGGAACATGGCAGCATTGCCATCTGTCATGTTACAGCAGTTATAACCAAGGGCTGAAAACAGGTCAGCCTTATATTTGATTCCACATGGGAAACCCAGACCTAGCATTAATGTTGTATATACATACCTTAGTACCTACCTACCTACCCACCGTGATGTAGGTAGAGCAGGTTATACCAAGGGGATTCTGCATTGGTCTGCACTAGTAAACATTTGTAGATCAGGTCCCAGGCACTTATTTACCTTTTTTGGAATGACTTAATAGCAGTCCAAAACTAAATCCCAAGCAACTTTAGAAGTGTGGATGCATGCTGTGTGAAAATTGAAAACAACCAATTCCAATTTGCCTCACTGAATAACTCAAACTCACAACCATGATGCACATTACCCCAAGCAGCTACACTCACCCTCCACCTTCCTCACTCCCACCACATCAAGACCAACAACCAAACCACGTACAGGAGTTCTGGCGCATTCCCAGACATTGTTATTGCAGTCTAGCACTCGTCAAGGGGCCAACCAAGTACAAGTGCCACAGGTTGTTCCTGAAATGACAGGCTGTGATAAATAGTCCAAGAAAAGCCATTTATCCAGTTGTGCCAACACAAATTGTTAAGTTTGCAGTAGAAAAATCATAGAGCTTTACAGCCATGCATTTCTTAGTGTATATCTTCCCACTTAATCCCTATGTTAAGATTTGTACCAGATAGGTGCTTCTATATGCTGTAGCTATTGGGATGGATAAAAATATGCCATAATTACCTTTCACAGCTGAATATTGAGCCAGCTGCAAATCTGAAGTGCCAATATGGAACATACATGGAAGCTGGGTGTCAGTGGTGGGGAAAATGATACAAACACCCTTCTTGTGGTGCATGGAATCCATCCAGCACTTTCTAAGGTAGGAATGGTGTGGGAATGTTCTCAAAATGCATCATATATGAACATTCTCTCTGTGTGACATTTGTTTATCATCATTCACTGTCAACTCACAGTTGTTAGCAAGAACCAGAGACAGAGAGATTTATTTCTTAATTGTGTTGATTAAAAGTTTGAAATTGTTTAGGTGTCATGTCTTTATGCCCTTTTTAAATGACATTTAGAAGGCATCATTTTTTTGCATCATTAACTTCTCTGCTTGTTGTGTATCAGTAAGAAACATATGATGCATCTTTTCAATTTCAATATTTCATCAATTTGTAGCATGCTCATAGAACTCAGGCAACCATAATCATGTGCCTAACTTCCTCACTTACTCTCTCCACCACAGGAAGCATTGAGGAATCAATTCATCAGGTTTGGGGACGTCGTCAGCACAAATGTGACGATAAACAGCCGAGGCAACCCTATGGGATTTGTTCAGATGCAGTCAGTGAGGTAATGTCACAGTTGTGAATGTGTTGGTGGTGGTGGATTGCATTTCTTGATGCTGTTGTGTGTGTCTCATCTTTTGTTGTTAGTTGACGTGTTTACATTATGAAGAAATGTTACTTGTTCTGATTCTCTGTTCAGCAGTTAAGATTATGAGTCTTCAGATGTACACCAAGACTTAGCATCTGCCACATGTCTGAGCTCAACTGCTACCATGGTGTCACCTAATTTTTTGTTATTTTCTCTGATTGATTCCTCTATGTGATATAATGTGTAAAGTGGTGTTTCCCTGCTCTCCTGTCCGCACATCCCTCCCCTAAGGCTTTTTGGTGGGGCTGTATTTGCCTTCTCCCAAGGTCAGCCACTCAAGCCCTGCTCTTATCCCTGCCTGGGGCTCTATCACCATGGTCAGCTCTCACTCTTGCCTTCCAAGCAATGTCCCCACCGCGCCATTTCAGTGGAGGCACTGCTGACGTCGGGCTTCGCCGATCCCTTCCCCCCCCCCCCCCCCCCCCGACAGCGACTGCGCCGCCGCCATCGCCGGTCTGAATGGGCACGCGCCACTCCACTGGACCGTGCAGCCCGGCGCGCCGCACAGCGAGCGACTCCGGCGGCGGCGCGAGCGCGACGAGGCGCGCCGCTTCGAGGAGGAGGTGGGATGGAGCGCGCGCCTAGGGGGCCGGCCCGACGCAGAGGTCAGGGCTGGTCTAGTGGCCTTCGCTATGGTTTCGAAGTCTCGGACCGATCCTGGTGCCCGCTCATGCCAGCCATGCCAGACTGTGCATGCCCGCCGTGCCTGGCTGTTCATGCCAGCCATGCAAGGCTACTCATACCAACCATACAAGGCTGCTCATGCCAGACATGCCAGGCTGCTCATGCCAGCCATGCCTGGCTGTTCATGCCAACCGCAGCTCGCCGGGCTGAAGCCCAGTTCGGGCCGAGCCGCGCTGCCTGTGTTGTGTTGTACTCGCTTGCTTGGCCTGACATGCTGTGTGGATGAACCAGCCATTGAAGTGGAAAGCATACATTCGCGAACAGATAAGCAAATAATGTGAAGGGTGGGGCCAGCCCGGCAGAGAGTGGGATTCCATAGATAGGTCGTTCTGTTTGCCTCCACCATTTTGGAGAAACCAAATCTTAGTGGCCTGCTGCGACCTCTTTATGCTGTCTCATGCAGCCCATGAATGCTTAGATAGTGGAAGATTAAGTGTGTGTGTGTGTGTGTGAGGGGGGGGGGGGGGGTGATTATCGGCTTGTTGGCTTTGATTGTGGCAACGTTTTAGTTTGTAGCGCCGCAGCCGAGGACACAGCACGAGCGGCACGGCCTCAATTACTTGAACTCAGTCGGGATTAGAAACTGGTCATTTGAGTCATAATGTTCTGTTTGCTATGAGGAATGTGTGTTGTGGGCTCAATGCTTCTGGTGGAACAGTGTTGTGCTTTCTTTTAACACACATTGTGCGTAGCATTCTTGCGTGATGAATGACGCCTGATTGTCCCTCAGATGCGGCCAATCCGCGAAGCCAAGCTTAGGGAGTTCAAACAGTATGAGGAGCGAATGATGATGCTCACGTGAGTCGACCGCGCTGCAGTAGGGCCTGTTCAATGGACACTGCTAGCTGTGCTACAGGAGCAGCAATCCATGTGGTGTGTCTGGGGTATGAAGTGATGCGGGGTCTGCGGCTTCCTGTTGGACATTATTTGTGGACCCTCGAGTCACGTGGCGTGCGTCCGTGCGTGCGAGCGAGCGGGCAAGGGAGGAGACTGGTTAAACATGTGGGAAACCTCAGGTCACGTGACGTTTGGAATCTGAGGTCAACGATCAACCAACCCAGACAGATCCTGAGTTCCCCTGACTTTCGGAGCATTGGCCACTTGATGGACTCGTTTTGATTCGAATGTCGTTTTTTCCACCCATTCGTAAGTCCGGTTTGCCTGCTCTTATAAAGGGCACATGGCCGTGTCTCTGGAACGCGAGCTGATGCGCCGCATGTGCCCGCTGCCGCAGCCGAGAGCTCGTTGCGACGCCGGATACGGATGAGAATCACGAGCGACTGGACGAGCTGGATGCGGAGGTGACAGAAGAGCCTCTCATGGTGAGGCAATGTGCAAACGTCTTGCTGGGCCGCGTGCAGCACAGAGAAAAATGGCGAAAGCGTTGGCCCACCAAGTTTTTTAAGCTGTCACTGCCTTTATTATAATATAGTTTTCCAGTTGTGGCTGACTTATCAAGCGAGCTCACTTAGTCTGCCTAAGAAAACAGTTGTGCAATTCAGTTGGCAGAGATGCTGGCTGGTGCTGCTTGAAGTTAGCAGTCAGAGCAGTGTGTGTAGCTCAACGCCACCCAGCGTCTGTCGTGCTGATTCGCTGAACCTTGGCTCACAGTAAAGCTTCACTTGACTCTCCTCAAAGCCCTTGGGTGGGTGTGGACGCACGGCCTGTCCATCTACTCATCGGACCACGCTCGGAGTCCTGCCCTGCTAGAGAGGCCGTCCTGTGTTTCGCTGAGGTGGAGCGGTCTCCGCCTCCTCGGCATTGTGACCCCCTCCTGTGGGGTCCGGACGAACCTACCGACCCGTCCGCCTCCCCGTCACCTGACCTTCCTCCTGCGGGGTCCGGACGGACCTGCCTTCCCGTCCGCCTCCCCGTCATCTGACCTCCCTCCTGCGGGGTCCGTACGAACCTACCGACCCGTACGCCCCCCCCCCCCCCCGTCATCTGACCCTCCTCCTGTGGGACCCGGACGAACTACCGACCCGTCCGCCTCCCCGTCACTCTGACTTCCTTCCTGCGGGGTCCGGACGGACCTGCCTCCCCGTCGCCTCCCCGTCATCTGCCCTCCCTCCTGCGGGGTTCCGTACGAACCTAGCCGACCCGTACGCCCCCCCCCCCCCCCCGTCATCTGACCTCCCTCCTGTGGGACCCGGACGAATCTACCGACCCGGCCGCCTCCCCCGTCATCTGACCTCCCTCCTGCGGGATCCGGACGAACCTGCCGACCCGTCCGCCTCCCCCGTCATCTGACCTCCCTCGTGTGGGGTCCGGACAAATCTGCCGACCCGTCCGCCTCCCCCGTCACCTGACCTCCCTCGTGTGGGGTCCGGACGAACCTCCCGACCCGTCCGCCTCCCCGTCATCTGACCTCCCTCGTGTGGGGTCCGGACGAACCTACCGACCCGTCCGCCTCCCCCGTCATCTGACCTCCCTCCTGCCGGGTCCGGACGAACCTCCCGACCCGGTCGCCTCCCCTGTCATCTGACCTCCCTTGTGTGGGGTCCGGACGAACCTGCCGACCCGTCCGCCTCCCGCGCTGGAGCCTGAGACCCTGACCTCGGGCCTGTTACCGTCAGGACTCGCCGGCTGACCCGTCGGCCGTGTGGCCACCCGCCGACGGGCAGCGGCCGTGCTCGGTGTGCACGGCACCCACGTCCGGCTTCTGCCAGCGCTGCAGCACGCCCTACTGCTCCAGCCGCTGCCAGAGCACCGACTGGGACCGGCACCGGCACAGCTGTGGGTGGGTGTGCCGCTGGGTCCCGGGGAGCTGCCGACTGGTGCCGGGCTTCCCTGCGGAGTTGATGGGCGAGCCCACAGCATGTCATTCCTGGCTTACCCGGTTGCCTTGTTGTGGGCTAGAAAGCCAGGCTAGGCTTGTTAGCGTCATACAGCAGTCGTTGCGTGTTCTTGTTTCGGTACAGTCAAGCATCGTTGCCATGGATAGACGGCGAGCCACGAGCACGGGCAATCATCGCGTAACGTGCTTCAAATGCCGTGTCACTGTTTAACAGAGCACCTGTGGCATAATGATCTCAGCCCGTATCATCTTGTGGGGTGTCGGGCGCGGTTGGGCCGCGCCAGACTGTGCCCTGCACCAGGTCCGGGGCCAGTCTAGTCCAATTAGAAGGCATCAGGTGACAAGCGTGGTAGGCGAGCGTCAGAAGCGCATATCGGCGCTGTTCTGTGATTTTGCGGCGGAGCGGGGGCCGTCTGATACGGCGCCGCGCTCCGGCAGCCGGCCGGACCCGCCGCTGGTGGTGTCGGTGGGCGGCGTGGCCGGGACGGAGCCGGTGCGGTCGGTGCGGCTGGGACGGGGCGAGCAGCCGCGGCCGGTGCCGCCGGCGGCCGCTGCGCCGCTCCGCCGGCCGCGCGCCGCCGCCGGCGATCCGCTGCCGCCGCCGCCGCCACCGCATCAGCAGCAGCAGCAGCACCAGCAGCAGTACCAGCACCAGCACCAGCAGCAGCCGCTGCCGACCCGGCTGGAGCGGGTCGTGTTGAAGGTCGGACACAGCTACCCGGTGAGGCCCGGGCCGCTCCTCGCGCGCTTTGGGTGAAGGTCCCGGGTGACTACGGGTGCGGCTTCACACGAGGATAAGCTGCACGTGATTTTTGCGCCTCCCTGTCCATTCTCACAGCACTGTAGCCGGCTGGAGTATCGTATCAGTGTTGTACTTTTTTTCGTACCAGCTCTGTGTAACGCAGCGAGTCGGTCCGAAAGATGTGGATAAAACGTGAGGCACGACAGCAACGCGCCCTAAAGCCCGCTCGTCGCGGCATCGTTGCTGACAAAACTGGCAGTGTATGTGCTCCAACATACCGTGTGGCACGGCTGGCTCTTCACAGCTTGATGGTGTGATGCGCGGTGTCCGTCACGACCGCGCGGTCGGAGCGTCACGCCAGCCGAGGCGTCGCACTCAGCCGCCGCGTGCCGTCGCCAGGTGCTGCTGTGCTACGCGGAGGACCCGAGCGCCGTGTACCTGCGCCTGCGGGACCAGTACGCACTGGTGGAGGCCATGGAGGCTGAGCTGCAGCGACAGCTGACGGCCTGTCAGACCCACGGCCCGCCGCCCGTCGTCGGGGAGGCGTGCGCCGCGCTCTTCGAGGGCAGCTGGTGAGCGGGCGGACGCATACGGGCGCTGCGGAGGCACTGGACAGACTGCGTATTGGCGTTTGGGAAGCCTCTCTCGTAGCTGGACTGCTGCACCTGGTAGCTAGCGTTTCCTTAGATGTATTGTGTTGATGTCATATGACATGTCACAGGCGCCGCTGTCACAAGGCAACACCTCCGGTGTTGCCTTGTGACTGGCGCCTCACTGCCAAGCGGGGGCGGCGCCGCGCCTGACGCCGTCGCCGTCCGCCAGGGCGCGCGCCCGCGTGCTGGCCGCGTCCGACGGCCAGTACCAGGTGCACTTCCTCGACTGGGGCAACGCGGCGCTGGTGGCGGCCGGCGCGGTGGCGGCGCTGCCTGCGCCGCTGGCCGCCGTGCCGCCGCAGGCGGTGCGCGCCGCGCTGCCGTGGCGGCCGGCCGGCGCCGACGGCACCTGGAGTCGCCGCCAGTGGGACGGCCTGGCCGCCCTCGACGGTCAGCCGCTCACCGCCAGCGTGGTGACCGCCGTCGGCGACGACGTCAGCGTCGCCCTCTTCAACGCCGACGGCAAGAACGTGCTCTCGGTCATCGGCGAGGGCGTGGCGCCCGTCGGCGAGGAGGCGGACGTCCGCCGGCTGCCGCCACCGGCGCGGGTCAGTACGCCGCTGGCCACGCTGTCCGCGTGGGCCGACTCCGCTGCGGCGACGGAGGGTGGGACTTGCCACAGTGCCGAAGGGCTGAAGCCTTGTTCAGTGCATTTGTATTTCAATTGGACACGGTATCGGTGGATGTTGTGTCGAGAGATTAGACATGAAATCCCTGCGCTGTGCGCGCGATGGTCCCGAAGGAGTTTCCTGTTTGGCATTATTTGCATGGTCTGAAGGCTTGCCCGTCCGACGCTGCGCCTCTGGAGCTGCCGTGCCGTTGTGTTTACATGCGGTCACTGACATTTACATGACCCGCGCCGTGTTGTCGGCCGACCGAAGACGGTCACGGGTGTCTCTGCGGACAGCTGATGCCGGACCGGAAGCACGTGGTGGTGCCCACGGCCATGGCGCACCCGCAGCACGTGACGGGCCAGCTGCGCGACGCCGCCCTCTACCGGGCGTACCGCGACACCAGCGAGCGACTGCAGGTCGCCTGCCAGGCCGGTGAGACCTGGCGCCTCCCTCAGAACCTGGCGGTCGCGGATGGGGTAAAGGACCCGCGGGTAATCGGATATCATCGGTCGGAACCAGGAATGTCGTAGCGGGGTGTCTGTCTGCGCTCCTGTGCATTTTTGTCTGATCTTGCTCTGTTCGACTGCGTCAGCACCAGGCCATGGTTCTTGTGTCAGGATCTGATCCATGTGTCAAACTCTGACCCGTGTCGAAGGCTCTGGCCTGTATATCAGGGTCCGGTGTTCCGATTATGGGCCCTATGTCAGCCTGTGAGCAGGGCTGCGGTGCTGCCGAGCCGCGCGTCGGGAGTCTGACCACGTCACGCCTCTGACCACGTCACGCCTCTGACGTGGCGTCAGGCTCCCGTGTCGTGCGAAGTGTCCGGCTCCGAGTTGCCGGCCGGGCCCTGACCGGTGACGCGCGTGCCGACAGCTGCGCCGCTCTCTGCCGCGCCGGCGGTGGGTAGCGCGGTGTCGGTGCTGAGCGCGCCCGGCGGCGGCGCGCCGGCCTGGCAGCGGGCCGTGGTGCAGGGCTGCGCCGGCGGCCTGGCCCGGCTGCGTCTGCTCGACTGGGGTCGACCTGAGGCGGCGCCGCTCTCCCGACTGCGGCCGCTCGAGCCTGCCTTCTGCCAGGTACGACCGCCAACCCTCTGCCCTCGTCACCACCGGTCCGCCACCCCCCTGCCGCCCGGGACGGGGGTCACCCGGCGCTCAGTCACGTGTTCATGTTGTGGTCGCATGCTGATACGGAGCGATTGGTAATGCTGGTTTTGTGTTGGAGGTGTGTTGCTCTGCCAATGCGGTGCCGGCGTCGGCATTATGGATCGCGGTGTGACAAGCAGTGACATTGTGATTGGTGACACCTATGCGAAATACGCGCACGAAGAGTGGATATGTAAGGGGACGTACCAGTGTGCAGCAAATGGTGGTGCTCGGCGAGTGGGCCGTGTGCGTGTTACTGTACGCTGTATGATGGACTGCCGCAGGCCACTGCGATAGGGGTGCAGTTCGGACTGCTGGATCTCGCGGAGACCGAGTGTCTGGAGGCAGATCTCGACTTCTTTAGGAAGAAACTGGTCGGCAAGGAGTTTCTGCTGGAAGAGGTGAGCATGCAGAGATGGAACGTGAAGCTAACACGCCAGTCTTACTCTCTGAGAACTCAGGGCGGCTAAGCATGCCACCTGGCATGCTTAGACCTCTTGGGTTCATGCCTGCGTTTTTGGGAGCGAGCGGCCCGTCCGCCGTTAGTCCTGTCTGCTCTGTTCTGACCAGCCTCGCGCGTCATCCGGCCGCTCAGCTGTGGTGAGTCCCCGTGCACCGTGCGGGTGACGCGGTCGACGTCGCCCGTGGCGTGTGTACGGTGGCGGTGAGCTGCTGTGGCTCGGCCGGCGTGGCGGTGGAGGTGGCCATTCGCCGGCGCGCCGGGCGTGCTTCGGGCGCGACGTCCTGCTGTTGCCTTCTGTGCGGCTGCGGCCGGCCCCTCTGATACTGGAGGCCCGCCCGTGAGCCGTGCTCGGGCAAGGGGGAGCCCGGGCCCCGTTGTGACTGTGCACATTCGGCTGGCTGAGCGCCGCTGACGTGCTGCTGCTGTAGAGCTGAGCTGACTGCTGTCCAGACCGCCTCAGCCTCAGCCGTCATGCCCGAGAGTAGCAGATTGAACGGTTCGGCGCGGGCGCATGCGCCGACCGCGTCGCTCCTTGCCTTTGCACTGCACTCCCCCACGTTGAGCTCCACGCACGGGGGGCGCCGTTGACCGCGGCTCTGCCTCGGTTCGCTTCAGAAAGGCAGCGTCGACGGCGTGACTCAGGTGCGGCTTCACCTTCTCAGCGACACAAACTCCTACTGCTTCAACGACAGGATGCTCGACCGGCTGGCGGCCGGTGAGTGGCTTCTCGAAGGCCGCCGCGGTGTGGCGACGCTCAGCTTTTGGAGCGGTATTGAAGTGTGAGCGGGCAGGGCGTGTGCGGCCCGAAACATCGGCTGGCTGCTCGTCTGTGGATGTGCCGGGTCAGGGTTGTGCTCAGCTGTGGTCAGCTCGGGCGTGGTGCGCCAGTGTGGGAGACCCGACGGCGACAGCGGGGCGGCTGCTGCGGGGGAACTCAGCTGGTAACCGCACGTGGTCCCGGTGTGAGAGCTTCGATCCGGGAGAGGGCAGTGCTGGAGTAATCCGACATGCCGCATGTTGAGTGCATTCTTGCGTGTGGTGACGCTCGCTGGGGGAGGGGGAGGGACACAGTGTCCGACGCCGCGGCCAGCTCTGGCCTCACCGGCGGGCGGGTGTCTGCCCTGACACGGCGCCGCGGCGGCTCCAGCGCGGCAGGAACGCGTCGCCGGAGACGCAGGAGCAGCCGCTGCTGGTCACTGGCCTGCCCGCGGTCGCGCTGCAGCCCGGCGACACGCATCCGGTGAGGCGGCCGACGAGGGATGAGCTGATGGAATGAAGGATGAGGGTTGGGATGAGCCGGTACGGAAGAAGGCTTCCAGTTCTGTTGTTCTCATTCGGCGGTATCAGTTTACATGGATGTTGATTGAGTTATTAGTGCGTGACCCGGTTACTTCTTCAGTCATTTTAGATGATAATTTTTTGAGTCGTTGTCATCTTATCACGGCTCACGATCGGCTTAAGGACGGTCCGCATCTGCTTGCGGTGAGTGACCCGTTTAGATACCGATGTGAAGTGCCAGGCGTAAGTATCAGGCACATTACGCTGCTTTATGCCGTCGGGCGTGATCTAGTGACAGCCACATGTCGATCCTCCGTCGCGCTCAGGCACGGCTGCGCTCCACTCGGTCGGGGCACCCCGTCCCAGTCCACACGGCCGACGGCGCGCTCCACTCAGCCGGGGCACCCCGTCCCAGTCCACACGGCCGACGGCGCGCTCCACTCAATCGAGGTACCCTGTCTCAGTCCACGCGGCCGACGGCGCGCGCCACTCAGCCGGGGCACCCCGTCCCAGCCCACACGGCCGACGGCGCGCTCCACTCAATCGAGGCACCCCGTCTCAGTCCACGCGGCCGACGGCGCGCTCCACTCAATCGAGGCACCCCGTCTCAGTCCACACGGCCGACGGCGCGCTCCACTCAGCCGGGCCACTCCGTCTCAGTCCACGCGGCCGACCTGACGTGCCGAGATGTACCCCGTGTTTGTGACGGTCGCGGTGCGCCGCCGCAGTTCGTCGTGGCGCAGGTGCTGGACGCCGGCCGCTTCTACGGCGTGCTGCTGACCGAGGAGACCACGGCGGCGCTGGAGAGGACCGAGGCCGCCCTGCATCAGCTGATGCAGCTGCGGCCGCCGCCGGCCTGCGCCGCGCCACGGCCCGGCCAGCTGGTGCTGGCCCACTCCGCGGAGGTGGCTGGTGAGGAGGCCCCGTCCCGCCGCGGAGGCGCTGACTGCGCACGCCGCGGCTTAGGGGCTGGGGACAGGGGAGGGGACCTGACGCGGCGGCGAGTGCGATCGGACGTGACGACTACTCAGCTGCCTTACAGGCGCTGCGGTGGCACATTGGCAAGGGCAGCACGTGGAGGTGCGAAATGGTTCCGCGGAACGGTCCTCTCGTGAATTATGATTTGTTCGTGCAGTCACGCGTGTTCAGTATCGCCTGCAGGCGACAGGACGCGGACAGCCTGCCGGGCAGCGCCCGTTCTAATGTCACGTGCTCCGTCTTCCCATGAAGCGAGGCCGAAGATGTCCGCGCCGCGCCTCAGAACCTCCGTACACCATCTGGTTTCCCCGAAGAGCACTCATTTGCTCGCAAAGTGCTGTGCGCCCCAAAGCATGTCGTTCGGGGCACTGGCGTCAGCTCCTGTGACGCACCATAAGTCGCCTCCGGTGGAGGCCGTAGACCATTTGTTTGGATTGAACTGTCGCTTGTGACGCAGCTGTTTTATCCAGATGGTCTATGTCTGGAGCACTGGCCCAAACCGGGCAGGAACCCCTGTTGGCCGTTGTTTACAGCTGAAGTTTGGCCCGCTGTCGACAGAGGGCTGGTGCCGGGCGGCGGTGCTGGAGGCGACTCCGCTATCGGTGCAGGTGTGGCTGCTGGACCTGGGCTACCTGGAGCGGGTGCCGCCGGACCAGCTGCGGCGGATGCCGGCCGAGCTGGCGCGGCTGCCGCCCGCCTCCCTCTGCCTCGGCCTGCTGGGTCAGTGCCGCGCGGCGCCCGCCCGCTCACGTAGACAGGCCGGGCAGGCGCGGGGTGTTTGGGGTGCCAGGGGCATCGGGGGTGGGAGGGGGAGGCTGGCGATGGTCAGCGCGCTAATCAGGGGGATGCGAGATGACGACTGGTAGTTTTAGCATGTCTGTGAGGAATGTATCCTCGAGATTTTCGATCGTCCCCACGTCCCGGCCTCGAGCTCTCGGTGTCACAACGCATCAGCTCCGAGTGGTTTTGCAACCCGTCGAGTTCAAACAGATATCCGGGGCAGTCGATCGCACGATCCTGTGGTGAACTGCTGTCATCGCTGAAACCAGACGACGAAGTTTCCCCTTTTTGATGTGTAATCGTTTTTCGTTGTTTTAAGGGGACGCGGCGCATGCCGGCGCACACCCTCACATAGCGCGCTAGCGATTGCAGAGACCATACTAGCCCTCAGGGGTCATGGCACAACCGGGAATACCACTCGACCATCATAGTTTGTGTCCGCGACGCGTGACATCATCCCAGACCGTGGCACACGGGTTCCGCCGTCGGACGGCTGCGCGCCTCGCCTGACCGGAGCCGTGTCGGCAGGCGCGGAGCGGTTCTCGCCGGCCCAGCGCCAGGTGGCCGAGAAGACGCTGACCGGCGACGGCGGCGCCGACGGCACGCTGCTCGAGCTGGCCGTGGTCAGCGTTGCGCGCGTCGGCGCCCCCACCGTCGTCACGTGCGCGGAGGTGGCCGGCCGACTGCCCGCGACGTAGCCCGGCTCGGAGTGGAACTAGGACCGTTGGCGCTTTATCGACGCCGGACGCCGTCAGACCGGGGCAGACTTGAGTTTGAGATATGCTCCGAACGTGTTCTTTTGTGCGGATCATCAGACACTTGAAGATAATATTTGTTTCATGTACTAGATTGGGTGGTTGCTGTTCTACATGTAGGCAGCCCAGCCACGTCGTAGGGTTCATCATGCATATAAGTGCATCACTGTTCCCACGTCATGGATAAATGTGATTGTTACGTTTTGGTCTGGGATTTGAAACCAGAAGATTTCGTCCAGTATACGGTCATGCCTTTCTAGCTGGTTTGTTATTGCGGTGGTGTCCGCCGCCCTCCGGAGGTCTTCAGCGGAGTCGAGGGCCGGCCACTCCTGGCGGTGCTGCCCATACCCGCACATCCCTGCGCCTCGGAGGCCCTCTGACGCAGCAGCGGCCCCCTACACCGCAGCACGGGGCGGCTGCTCACCCGGCCAAGTTCGCAGTCCCGACCCCCGGGGCGCCTGGGGCCGCCCCGGGCCGACCGTGACGTCAGCGGGCCCGGGCCGGAGTGACGCAGTGCCTGCGCTGGTCACGCTACGTCAGCAGCACCCGATAAGGAGGGGGGGGGGGGAATTGCTGCAAACAGGCTGGACTGCTCCCCAACACGCTGATCAATGTTAGGAGTGGGCGGCGCATGATTTTGAATCGTAGTTGACACCCTGCATTCATCGTGAAATACAGCACCAGCTGTTGCAAAAAAGATGTCAAGTGGCAAATTACAGCACTGCATTCAGTTTAGCAAAATGAAGGCACATGAAAGGCAGTAAATGCTTTGTTATGTTAGGAGGGACATGCCTCCTTTCCTATGACTGATGAACTGCTATCCTGAGCCTTGTACAGCAGGGGTAGGTCCTGAGTTAATCAGTGCTCTCCCTCCATGACATCTGGGATTTGACATCAGTGGGTCTGGAAACCCTGCACAATTTGAGGGGCATTTATGTTCAGCCATTTGAGAAGCCCTCCAGGGTTAAAGAATGTTAAAAGGACCCTTCATGCTCATGTGACTGCAGGGATGCTATGTAGCAGTGCCCCATAGCTTGAGGCCTTTGTAATCCATAACTTGGGCCCTTTGTACCCCATAACATGGGGCCTCTATACCCCATAACTTAGGGCCTTTGAAACCCCATAACCTGGGGCCTTGTACATCATAACTTTGGGCCTTTGTGCCTCATAACTTGGTCTTTGTACCCCATAACTTGGGTTTTTGTAGCCTATAACTTGGGGCCTTTGTGCCCTATGATTTAAGGCATGTTACTTTAACAAAGTTTGCTTTGGAGAATGTAATTTGATTATATTTACTTTTCTTGATAAGATGTAGATGCTAATGTATTGCACGCATCTTGCTGCTTGTACAAGGCAATTAAGTTTCAGAGTGTCAGGATTCAGAATGTACTCTAATTGAGCTCATACTCTGACAAGTGCACTAACTCCCTGGGTTCATTTTATGCCATATATGCATGAAAAAGACACTAAAACACCACATGCACCTGTCTGGCAACACACCACCTACTAACCATTATGGATATCCATAAATATAGAGTTACTGCATGATAACCAGTCTGTAAACCATAGCAAGCATGCAAACAAGATGCTTCAGGCAGACTGGTAGATAGAATCCTGCCCAAAATATAGAAGTTCCTCTATTTGGGACATATTTTAATAATCTTTCCCATACAAAAGATATCATATGATTCCTTCAATATACCAATTCAATAATGTCTGCCACTTTTTTGTAACCTAACCCTAATCAGACACTGTGCTCCACCTCTTCCCCAACAAGATAAAAAAGCGTTGCTTTCAGACTGGTAAAATAATGAAATGGTAAAAGCCAGTGACAAAAACTTGCACTGGCAGAGAATCGACAACAGCTTGCGCAGCATTAAAGCTGCACTCACCACGCATCATCTGTGGTCCATTTGACCATGTGCTACTCACTTACACCTGTATTATTAATTCAGTTATTCTCACTAACTTTGCTCCATTAAACTAAAACAAACTGATCTTTCACTTAAATAATTCATGCACTGTGAAAATGGACATCTGAGCACAAAAAGTGTGTCATTATGAGGATGTGTGCCTACCTTTCAGGCATGCTGCAACCTGTTTTTAATACGGTAGGGCTGTTCAATATTGCATGTGTATGCAGATGTTTCTACCTTTATATCTCTTCTCACTTTCCATCGTTTACAGCTCATACTCTCACTTTCATATATCTGGAACACACACTAGCAAGAGCACCTAAGTACTGTTGAATTCACGTCTCTGACGTTTAAATCATTCAAATAAATGATCCCTTCAAGAAAATTGGAGAAGATTCAAAATTCATCGGAATTAGCACCCCGACCCACGCCAACGCGCAACCACAGGCTCACGCAACTCCAAACACTGCTCGGGTACATAGCGATGGGCAGAAGGTTTTGGTAATTCGCCTTAGGGGTATCAGCTGTTAAGTACAAGTACCATAAATTCTTTCTTTTCTGGCTCTTCTGTTAAAAATCTTTGAAAGCTAGGAAATGGGATAAAATAAAATAACAAAAAATATTTTCTCTATCAATGCAAATTTTTAATCGTTAAGATGTACAGCATAAAAGATCAAGTGTTTGAAGAAGTCGAAAAATGTAGGTACTTATGCAAAGAGGTTACGGAACTGTTTCATCTCTAGGATCATTACGGCCCGTGGGGCAGTGAGCAGCAGGCTCGGCGATTGTGGTGGTGGTGGCGCAAGGGTGAAAGCTGCTGCGTAGAAAGCAAAATTCGTTAAATTTATCCTTGTGCGTACCTTATCATTCATGCAAAATCTTAGGGAAGTGGTTCCGGACATTGGAAGACGGTGACAGCGTCGTATTTTAACATCCTCTGTTAGCACCACCAACGTCTGCAGTGCGAGGTGAGTGACGGCCATGTTCCTGGTGTGCTGCGTTACCTGTCCACTTTTGTTTGTTATATGACCAACCATGTCTTAACGTGTGCCTGTACTTTCGTGATTCCTGGCACGTTTGGAGTGTCCTTAATGCAACGGTATTGGTTTTCGGGTTGCAATAGTTTGCGCTCAGGCTTTGTAATGGGTGTCAGTGACCTTCAACTTCAGTTTCTTTGTGTTTCGTCTTTATACGGTCCCCATGTATCTGGAAGAGATCCTCTTTTACTTCATGGTTATTTTGATTAGGCTATTAAGATGTAGCATGAATCTTGTGAATGCTGGATAGGAGTCTGCTTGCATGCACTATGTAGCATTGGTTATGTGGGAATCACACATGCACTGCATGTCCTTGGCTTAAGTCTGCACTTGAAAGGCAGGCCTGAACAAGAAAAATGAATGCAGAAGAGGACTGTGCTTAATTAGGTGGTGAAAGTCTAAAACATTTAATTATTGCAGCTTTGGATTTGCTTTAGGCAGATTTACCTGGGGTTTGGGCTTCAAATAATGTGCCAAAGCTGATCTGAGTGGCAGGGGTGGTGCAGGACCCCCCAAAGAGAGCTCTGTCCATAGGTGGAAGCTAGGCAGGCATGATCTGGGATAACACTGGTTTGTACAGGAGGCTTTGTTTAAAGTTATGGGAATGATCAGTAATCATAGACTGACTTAGATCAAATGATAGATATGCACCATGACCAAAGGTTGGAATAGTTTTCATTTGTTCTTTAGAAGTCTCCTAATTGGTCATCTAGCACTTTCCATAAAATTGGTTATGCTAAATCTCAAGTTGTTTGAAGTGATGTGTGCTGGTGGCTGGCAAATTCCACTCATATGCAGAATGGGCTTCATATGGCCAGGCAACTGGTACGCCCTTGAACCCATTTCATTGTCATAGTCACATGGTGACTTAATGGTATTATCCAGAGCTATGGCTAATGAACTAGATACACTGCATCATGTTAGCATATTACATGAAGGATCAGAATTTTGCTTTCTGGACCTTAGGTTTATGTGATGATAATGCTGTACTGTGAGCAACAATGGAGAAAAATATCAAAGACATATTTTCATTAACACATCTGCACATCTTTTGTTATTCAGTACCATTTGTAACCAATTTTTTTAGAACAATCAAACTCCTGACTAAGTTTTGGACATAAATCTGCTCTTGGCCTTTATCAATTATCAACAGCATGTTACCTCATGCTCCATGGGCACTGCTTCATGCTCCAACATACTATATACTTTGGGATCCTATTCCTTATTTGAAGGTATCTACTCTTTGTTTGATACCTTGATATTTTTTTGTTTGTTTCATCTGTACATAGGAATAGAAATATAGAAATATCTCACCAACAATTAATAATGATGAGTAAATAGGTTACTATTGAATGTTCACAGGAGATGACCTCAAGTGGACAATATAGAGTCAAGAACTGAACTGAAAGCATCCAGCTGTGCTCCATGTATGGCAAACTTTTGTTTGGGATTGAACCAAATTAGTGTCAATGTCTTAATCTTTGGATGAACAAGTGTCCCAAGGTCTCAGAACCTAAAAAGTTCCAATAATTCTGGTTTGACATCAACATGGCTTCATCCAATTTGAGCCAACTAAAGCCATGTTGTCATAAATGGTGGTTTGAGTTGTTTTGATCCTGCATTCTCATCTCACATCATTTGTTTTATCTTGTTAGTTGTATCAGGTACATACATACATTGATGATACACTGTACACATGGTGGCATTACACAATTACATCTTAGTAAAGTGAACATACAAGATTACTTCATCATTGGTCCTATTTTAAGGCATTTTTGTTTTGGGCTGAAACTAGATCCATGTTATCTTCTCAGTCTTTGGAAGAGCAAGTTTACCAAGGTTCCAAGGTTTCCCAAGTTTCCCATTTTTAGAACTTCAAAAAGTTGCAAGAATTTCAGCTTTGCTATAGGCATCTGACCGAGCTAGCTTAAGCCAACTGGTCATAAATGCTGGTTTGAATTGCTTTCCTCATGTATACATGTCTTACATCATTTGTTTTATCTTGTTAGTGATATCAGGTACATATATTAGCAATGTACTGTACACCTGGTGACATTACACAATTACTATTTTGGAAAGGGAACATACAAGATTGCCATAACAATGCTTGTATCTTTAACTGATGTGTATCTCTTCTCCCAAATGGATGTATATATATATATATATATATATATATATATATATATATATATATATAGCAGATGGTGCAAACATAGCACAACTGAGCCAGTTAAGCCTAAAGAGGCATTCTGACTGTTTTGATAAAGTTTGGACCACTATTCCCCAATGTTGGGATGTTGGTTCAATGTTAGGCCATTTCTTCAAGCTTGATATTAGAAAAAAACACTGAGGCTGCTTGCATTTTTGGTTGAATGTATGTGATATGTCTATGCTCATGAATAGTAAACCATTGCTAGTTAAAAATAATATCAGATTATGCACTGTGATAAAACTGTTTTATGATGCTATCAACCACAATTTCATGTGAACAGTTCAAAAGTTATTTCACTCATTATGTGATGCAATTGTTATTCAGGTTGCACTTACACACAAATTTCCATGTTTTTCACATGTGACATCCAGGAGAGATGAAGCCAGATGAAGTCTGTAGTCAATTGGGGGATATATATATATATATATATATATATATATATTTATATGTATATATATGCATTTGTGTATATATGTATATACATATATGTATATATGTATATATATATATATATATATATATATATATATATTTATATATATTTATATATATATATATTATATATATATTTATATATATATATATATATATGATGTGTAATTAGCATGGTTCTACCTGTATGTTTTTCTTTTCATGTTGAAAGACATGTGGTTTAACTACTACTGATACTGGATGATGTTTGTGTTTGGGTGATAAATATTGTAAGTTGGATTGGTTCTAAACAAGACATGCAGCTTTACGAATGCAACTCTGTCCCCCATGTTCATATTTGTTAGTTATACTGGGTCATATACTTGTTAGTTATATTGGGTTAAATATTTGTAGAGGATAATGGTGATGCCTTTTTCTCAATTTATGCTTTCAAATTGCCATCTTATTGTCATGAGTGTTATGTCCTTAAACTGTAATTGTGACTTAGTGTGTGAGATTATGGCCACCAGTGATTTGACTGTGATGCCATGGTGTAGAATGCCCAATGGTGTGTTTTATTTGGGAATCTGGTGTATTATATTTTTAGTTTTCAATCCATCAGGACTTGCAAAAAATATTAAAGTAGAGATTCACAGTTTTGAATGTAATATTTGTTGAGGAGTTATCACATTTGCAAGCATTTGTGTGTTGCAGTTAAGAACAATGCATGCACTAAGCTGTCTGTGCCATCTATAGTTGATGGGTGTTGCATGCTGAGACATTGCATGGGGACATCATCTGAAAGGGTGTTGATGTCATGGGCAGCATGAAATTTCACATTCCAACCTTTTGATCTGGAACAATAAGCATGCTTGTGTTTTCTTCTTTGGTAGCCTCTGAGCTAGCTGTGTGGTTTGTTCAAATGGGTGTATGAGTGAGCCAACATAAGTAAGGTGTTTTCCAAAGTGTGCTGTGTGTGAGAGAGAAGGATCTTCAGCTCCTGTCTTTTTTATGCATTATCAATTCAGATCCCTTATGCTGAGTTATCAACCTTCAGTGTACCAGTTGGTGCATGTTAAACAACATTATAATGCAAAAATTGGTTCAATTGGCAGTCTTTGACATTTCTAGCTGGATGTACAATCACAAGTGACAAGAGTCAAGGGAGGTTGAACAGAATCAAATTCCCAACAAACATTGAACTTTGTGGCTGTGCTGCCTGTTTGAGGTTGTGGGAACATCACACTTAGTCAAGTGAAGTCTCAATACCAGCTGTTAGTGCGTGCAAATGGCTTTGTGTGTCCGGCCCCACTGAGAGCAATGTAGAGCTCTTTCCATGGTTGTGTATAATTTTTGCATGCTGTTGTATCATTATTGAATTATGCCTTTCTTAATATTCTGTGGCAACTTTCAGTGAATAGATTTTCAGCATACCCATGGCATTGCTGATAGATCTTGCCCCTACAAAACCCCCACAAAAGCTGAAGTTGTTTGATGTCGGGATGAAAAGATCATGACTGCTATGTGTATGTAAGTGGCTTGTCATATGGTGGTGACTGTCATATGGCAGTTGCGATAAAACGCTGTGAGATGTGGTGACATCTCATACTTGTCAGTTATATTTTGTGTACGGTCAGCTGAGATAAAAGCCATGTATGCATATAAGGCCGAGATCAAGGCAATGTACGCAAGTAACTTGCACCTGAAAGGCAAACTGTAAATTTCGGTCGCGGCATTTGTCGTTGTGATGGCCTGACGCTCGTTTGGTGTTGAGCGTTTGGTGGCTCTCTGTTGATGATCTCGGTTGACGCTCGGTTGGCGGCTCGGTTGATGACTGACCGGCGGACCGGCCTGCTCGCGCAGCGGCGCGGCGGCGCCCGCTACAGCGGCCTCGCCTGACGCGGTGTCCGCGCGATCCCCCGAGACGCCGGTCACCGGGCCCGGCCAACCAGCCATGGACCAGGAGCAGAACCAGATGCAGTCGGCGCCGCAGCTGTGCGGCAACGGCTGCGGCTTCTACGGCAGCCCCAGCTTCGACGGCCTCTGCTCCAAGTGCCACAAGGATATCGCCAAGAGCCAGGCCGACAAGGCCGAGCAAGGTGAGTGGTCGGTGGCGGGAGAGCGACGGCAAGTTTCGGGGCGCGAGCGTGTGACCGACGCAGCGTGTCGCCGCGGACAGAAAGACGAGGAGGGAGTTGGAGTGACGCTGCGGACGGTATACCGCCGGCTGCTCCATTCTCGAACCGCGGCAACGTCCCGGGTGAACAGCTTTGGGCCGTGACGCGGCGCCGGGCCCCCAGCGCTGCGACGGGCGGCACTGTGTGATGACGTCACCCGGGCCATTCCATCCTTGAATGGTGTCCTGGTGACGTCAAACACGGATTTGCGGCGTCAGGCGGCGGGCGTCACCAAGGTACGTTTTGAGCCCGGCATAACCGCGTCGTCGCGGCGCCCACGCGCCCATAAAATCGATAAATTAATCATCGGGTGCGCAGCCGAAGACCATGGCAGCCAAACGGAGCCTTCCGAAGGCGGCGCCTCGGAAGGCTCCGTATCTCCCTTATCGGCGTCGAAGCCATCTGCCCGGCGGGGCAGCTGGAGAGGCAGAAAAAACGCCCAACTTCGCGCTGCCCTGCGGTACGGGACGGGCGGACGAACCTGAGATGCCGGGGGCCAGCCGCCGGCGGGCTGGAAGTGACCGGTCTGCCGGACAGGGCATTAGAGCGGCGGACGGGGGAGGGGAGGGACAGGGGTCCATCCCGAACGCCAGGTGACGGTGGCCGCGTGGTGGTGCTGTCCGGCCGGTTGGCTGGGCGGCGGCGGGCGATCGGTGATGCCCGCGATCAGTGAGCGCCATCCGCCTCTCCAGCCGGGGTGAGGCCTGCCGGGCGTTAGCCGTCGGTACCGAGCACGTCCAGAGACCGCCGGTTGACGGGTCAGCAACGTCACCGTAGAAACGCATGGCCCGCAACCGAGGCGCGCGCCAGGCATTGGTGACGCGCTTGTAAGAGGTGACGCAACTGGAGCAGCTGGCTGGAGAGAGGGGTCGGCAGGGCTAATAACTCCGTGGTCAGTGGCTGAGATGGCTGAAGCGGATCACGGGCTGGCTGAGGTACTCCATCGCCATCGGGGATGTGGAGTTATGATCCCCTGTCCAACTGCACTGCTTCCGAGGAAGGGGTGCGGCAGCGGGACGGTACCGCCCGGCCCCCGTTTGACAGGCCGTGACGTTGGGTGGTGATCGGACGTGAAGACAGCGTGTGGTGCGCTGGTGGCCCGGGCCGTTGCCGCCGGCCCCTGTTTGACAAGCCGTTACGTTGGGTGGTGATCGGACGTGAAGACAGCGTGTGGTGCGCTGGTGGCGCGGGCCGTCGCCGCCGGCCGGCCAGTAACCGGCAGGTGCCTGGGTCCGTCTCCAGGCGCGGCGTGGTACGCGAGCCCGTCGGGGTCGCCGGGCTCGCGCTCTTTGTCCTCCAGGGTGGGGCACGGAGGTATCCGCCGCTCCGGTCTAGTATGCATTGCGCTTGTCAGAAGGCCATCGCTCATTTGCCGCGATGGTATGATCGGAGCGCGCCGGCGACCCCTCGAGGGTGGTCTGTCGAGCGGTGCCACTGAAGTGCCGGCTCGAACGGCGACCTTGTGTCGCAATGCCCCGCCTGAGCTCGGGCACTGCGGCCGCTCCGGACCGGGTGGGCTGTTTCGGAACGCCACAGGCCGCCGGGCGGCCAGCTCCGCGGTCCGCAGTCGGCCATTTCGGAACACCTCGCAACACTCCGAGGGCGTTCCACGTCGCCAGCCCGCCGGGCGGAGCCGGCCGGACTTTGGTGCAGCCGTCCGCGGCTGCCTGGCCCGTGCTCCTGATAGCGTGGCCCCTTATCCGCCTCCCGGCGCGTCGCCTGCCGATCTCCCGGCCTGCCCCCCCCCCCCTCCCCTGCCCCGCATGGACGTCAGTGTCGGGTATGTGTGGTGTCTAGCCGCCGGTCAAGGTTGGCTGACGTTGTGGCTGCGTCAAGGCCTGGAGCACCGCCCGCCTGCTACGCTTCACAGGATATGGGTGTTTGCTTAGCGATGGGAAGGGCTCCCCTGAATACTATTACCAGCTGATTATGCCTCATTCCGCCCGGGCTGTGTCTACAAGGCTGTGCAAGGCGAGAACAGTGGAACATGCGTGGGTGGGTGTGTTGAAGGGAGGGGGGAGAGCTACCCGAGTGGGTAGGGCATCCTACGTTTGCAATTAACAAAAATGTATTTCGCTTATATGTTAGTTATCTTTCTCGTTATTCGGTCTCGCCGTTTCGCCTTCCATATGACGTGAAAGGACGCCGTGCAGGATCGGCGGCGTGCGCTCCCTACCATTTATAAACTTAGCATGATTACCTCGCGGAAAATAACAGTGGACTGGCCTCAGCGAAATCTTGTGATTGGTCTCAATTTGTGTGTTACTAGGTAAAATTGTACCCCACTAGACCAGGTCAATTGACCATCGTTTTCAGGATCGCACTACTTCACCTGCTCATGCCAATATATACGAAGCTATGGGACAAGGCAACATTAAACTTATACCGACATTTTCCTTGTATAATTTTGAATATTGTTTAGCATGTACTTTGGTGCGCTTTGAGTAAATATTGCGCATATAGGGTTTCACGAATGTAGAGGCCGCCTCGTCACCCGTGATCGGCGGAATCGGCGATTGCCGTGGCCGTAGATCGCCGTGCATTATTTTTTAATAAAACGTCTTCACTTAGAAACCAGAAACGCTGAGGTATGTCTTTGCTATCTAAACACGCGCGGGGCACACTCAAGCGGCTGGTGAAAATTTGGGTGCGATTACGCTTCATACCTGGGAGATACCGCCAGAACGCTTTCGATGGACGGTATCGCCTTGTCTCACCCTTCCACTGGATCCAGACGAGTATTTAGCTCTTGGCGTTAAGCATTAGGGTGGTTAAGGCTGGAAATAACCGAGTAAGAGTACACCAGGAGCCTCTTGGTATCACGGTTTAACCAGTCTGGTAATTGGAAAGCTAAGGTTGGCATGTAAGGTGTGACAGTTTGGGAAAGTGCTCAAATTTTCGTGGTTCTTTCCAGAAGCTCCATCCTGGTATGCCGGAGATCGGCTACCTTTTATTAAATTTACTAGTCCGCCTTTGATCTAGACATCGAAGTGTGATTCCTATCGTATGGGATCATTTATAACTCTGGTCTCAGCTGATACGCCGGCCACGGCCTGTAAACAACTATCTTTAACTCTGGTCTCAGTTGATACGGTCGTGCACGTGCGCCGCCCCCGTCGCCGGCCGGGCAGTCGAAGCGCGCTGGCCCGCTGGCCCGCCGGGCCGCCGGACCGCCGGACCGCGCCTGACCACGTGACGCCGCACCGCGCCTGACCGCGGCCGGCTGTAATTTCAGAGCAGAGCGGCGGCGCTCAGTCGGACCTGAGCCAGGTGCTGCAGGAAACCAGCGCCCTGTTGGCGGCCACCACGGCCCAGCCCACCGTGCCCGTGCTGCCGGCAGCCGCCGCCTGTCGCCGCCGCCGCCGCCGCAGCGCCAGAGGTAAGGCGCAGAAACGCCCGGGCAGATGGACGGCGCTGGTGCCCCCCCCCCCCCCCCCCCCCCCGCCTGCCTTTAAATGCCCGCCAGATTCCCGCTCGGTGTTGTTTTAGTGAAATAGCGATGGCGATTGCCCTGATGATTGATGATAATCATGACGATGATGATAACTGATGATTGTTGTTTCTGTTGCGGGTACTACCTGCTCGTGCCTGGGAGCTGTCAGCGACGTAACGTAACGTCGCACCACACGTCAGCTGGTCGACTGAAGCCCATATACGATGCAGTCCGAATGTGCACTCTGTGGTACGCAGTTCACGGGCGCGAGGGGGCTTTCGTTGTGCCACTGTGCCGGGCTGCGGGCGCGCGACCCCTCGCCCGGCCACCAGCCCCTCTGTCGAAGTCGCTCCTCATCCCCCCGTCACCCTCCACCCGGCAGAGTCTCCCCGAAACGGACCAGGAGCGGACAGCCGCCGCCGCCGACGTCGCCGCCGGCTCCGCCTCGCCGGCCGACGCCTCCGGCAAGAAGAAGAAGAGCCGATGCGAGGTGTGCCGGAAGAAGGTCGGCCTGACGGGTGAGTGGGATTTCGAGACGCGCAGGCTGCCCTGCGGGAAGGCCTCCGCGGCCGGCCGCTGCCTCACTCCCGCGGCTCGGAGAAGCGCTGCGCCGTCGGGAGACTCTGCACGGCGCACGTTGCGGGCGGCCGCGTGCCAAGGCGGAGCGAAATGAAAACAGTCGGTCACATGGGCTGTGCTGGCCCAGCGTAGTGACGCCGCGGCGACTGCGCGAGCGACCGGGGCCCCGCTCGCGCTGCGTCACTGTGACCGGGTCAGGCGGACCGATGCTCGAGACTGAAGACCGTGGGCCCGAGCCGTACCGCTCCAACCGGCGGAAACGGGCCGGCTGCGTCAGGAGGTAGTGTGCCACGCTCGTCTACGCCCGCATCGCCCCGGCGTCAGCTTCAGCGTGTCGTTGTTGATCTGAGTGTCTTGCTTTGACGTTGTGCGGTGTTTGCTGCGCATCCGCTATGGTCACACCGAGTGCTCCGCGATCGTGACCTTGTGAAGGTCGCGGTCGCCACCTGTCCCGTGACCGGCTGTCGCTGAGTCTCCGGCCCGTCTCGTCGGCAGGGTTCACGTGTCGCTGCGACGGCCTGTTCTGCTCTCTGCACCGATACAGCGACAAGCACGACTGCTCCTTCGACTACCGCGTGCTCGGCCAGCAGGAGATCCGCAAAAACAATCCGGTCATCGTCGGCGAGAAGGTGAACAAGATTTGAACGGGCGCCGGCGCGCCCGCGCGGGCCGGAAATTAGCCAGTGATAGCCGGGCGGCGTCCCGTCTCCGTTCCCCTCGCCGAACGCGGGTTGCGTTCGGCCCGTCGCCAAATCGACCCGCACGCCTGTGCGCCCTCCCCCCGGCTGCGCGTGTCCCGCCTGACCGGCCCGCGCGGGCGGCGGCGCCCGGCCGGGCCGCCCGACCACCGCCGGCGGCCGGCTGGTGATGTAGATAGACTGGGCGGCACAGCCGCGCCGGCCACCGCCGGCCACCGGAAATCCCCAGTGCTACTAACGCGATGGTATCGTTGATTTAGCTTAGCGGTGCGGTGCTTGGCTTACACGGCGTCCGGTGCCGCAGCGCGTCGCTGCGCATGCGCGCGGCGAGGACCGGCGACCGGGCGCGCGCGCACGCGCACTATATCATTGGTGTGGCTCAATGGGTTGTGTGTGCGTCGCGAGCCGGCGTCGGAGACGTCTCGCATGGACCGAGAGGTGGCCCGGCGCCGGGCGGCGCCCGCTGTCCTAGATCGTTTGGGGTGTGTTTGTGTGAGCGTGTTAAATCCTGGCCGATCCAGGCGTGTAGTATTCAGCCGAGGCGGTTTAATTTGTCCGAGGCGGTTTTTGTGTTGGATAAATCGCATGCATAATTACTGGTACGTGTGCGCAGTGGGTTCCAACTATAAATGTGCACGCTCGACGTGGACTGTTGATTTCCGCGGTCGGTTGTAGACGTGCAATGGCAGGCTACCGTGCGCCGACGGCGGACGGATGGCGGCGACGCTGCTTCCATACTCCACTAGTTACGGCACTCTTGTATAGACGGGCCGGCCGGGAGGCGCGGTGGAGCCGGCGCACATAACAGAGGCGGTCGCCAGCGCGCGGCGGCCGGCCGGCTTGCGGGGCTGACTGGATCTTCTCGTGCGTGTCACGATGCGTCAATAAAGTAACGTGTTGGTGCTGCGACTGCTTTGCGTGTGGGGCGCGGCGGCCGAGCCGGCGCGCGCGTCGCAGGCCCGGGTGGACGGCGAGCGTACCCCCTGCGGCTGCCTGTCGGCGTTCCAGAGGGCTGTGCTCTCCTGGGACGGGTGAACACGGCTGCGCTCCGGGTGGCGCGGATCAGCACGGAGACGGCACCACACCTGTCCGAGGCCACTTGGAGGTCACGGCCTCGTGTTGGCTTGTGGGAATAATACCGCCACAATCCAGCAGTCAGCGGAAAAACTGGCTCTGTTCCCGGACGCCAGACTCGTGCTGTGGTCTCAATGGAACAGGGGCGTTCCTGGCCTTCTACAGAACGTGTTCAACGGACGTTTGCTTTCTTGTTATGCGCGTTCATTGTGACGTGCCAGCTGGATACGCATTTCCGCGAGTCATCACTCGCGGGCTGCCTGGTCGCCCGTCACGTGGCCGTCGCCCCTGGTCACGTTGGTTCTAAATCTGAGGCAGCCGCAGCGATAGACAAATCGTCTTCGTTTGTTTGTCAGGCGGAGGCGACGAACGTTCGAGACCGATAGTGCCACCGACGACGGAAAAGAAGCGTCTGCTTTATGGTTTTGGGGGCGATAGTGCATACACACTAGAATCCATTTCAAAAGAAATACCTGTAGTGTCTTAGTATACAGGAACACAGCAAGCACGGACAGCTGCGCACCTGTCGAAAACGACCGTACAGCATTCATTCGGCGTGGGCGCGTGATGGATTGACTTCTCGGCGCGTGGGTATGGTTCACCGGGTGCCGGCCTACGTCAGGACCAAGTTAGTCCCTGACGTAAGGCACACTTTCTAATTGGTATGCGAGAGGCAATTCTGCGGACAGTTTAAGTTGGTTCGCTGTTCTTGGACAAGCCCCAGCAAGACATTTCCGCGCGGTTGCCGGGAGGGATAACGTGGTTTCCAGCGTTTCGTGACTGGGTGCGACATTTCGCGGCGGTGGGACTGCGAAATCGTCATTTCACGCGACATCGCCCCAGGGCGCGGTCTGTGGGCGCTGCGACCCAGCCGGAACTTCGCTAGCGATAACCCGGGCGAAACAGATCCGGCGGCGTGTGACCAGATGATGTGGCGTGGGACTGCGGTATGCGTGCGCCACCTCCCCGTAACTCGTGCAAGTGAAGCGGGCTGATGTCAGCGAAGGACATTTCACTGCGGACGTCCTTTACCAAATTTACGGTAAGTTTGGTGGTCTCCCTCGTATCTGATAACCCCTTTTCTTGTCAAGCCGTGCGTTATTTCAGCATATCTGGTGCTTCCGCGAGAAATGTTTCGAACGCCTCGTTTCTGGGGTTTTCTGGATCTCCCCATTCGTCAAAGGTTTGTTTTCGAGACGAGAACAAGCCATGCGCGCGCGTTACCTCTCAATCACGACGGCCCTTCGAGACCAGTAAGTCGTTTCGATCAGCTGTTCTGGCGTTCTCAAACATCGGCCCTGCCCGATGCATATTCAGCGCAAGGCCAGCCTCGCTCGCTGTGCAGTTTCCCCCCGCAATGAGCTCGGCTGCTGCCGCGTCAGAGGCGGGCCGGTCATTTGTCTTCATGGTGTGGTGGCGGTGAAATGCAGCGTGGCTGATTAATGTCGTGACGCGGTTTTTGCTAGGTAAGCGGCCCATTCTTTGTGGTTTTGCCAACAGTGGTGCAGTGTCTTGCTATATGGTGTCTGCTGGATGGATTAGTGATCCGATCTCATGTCGTACGCATGGGTTTCAGCTCATGACAACTGGTTTGTCTCCGGATTGGTAGCAAAATGGCCCAGATCTCGGTAGAAAATTACTCCCAGCGGCCACGATAGGCAGTCTTTCGACTGCTGCTCTGTCACAGGTCCGTGACGTCTCGCCACGAACGCATATTAGATGGGCTGGCGGCAAATAGCAGACGACTTTCTGAAATGACCAAAATTGGAATAGTTCAGGCTCGGCAACTTAGGGAATGGCTGAGCAAGCAGCCGCCTCGCCAACTCAAAAAATGTGTTAAAATAAATCAATGGCGTTGCAACGAAGAAGTTAAAAATCAGTTTTGCCCTCTCCCAAATTATAAACGATGCTCCGCCGCGACTGGAGCAGCCTTAGATCACCGCCAGCACTTTCCGTGGGGCGGATCGCATTCACAGCAGAAGTACTGCTGTCTGCTCTCATACCGCACATCATATCGATGGATCGGTCCCCAGCCTGATAAAAATTTGTTCCAAACTTTTTGATCGGGTGAATTTAGGGTGACAAGGGACCACGTTAGGCAGTCCTTGTATGAGCCCTGAGCCCACCATCCGATCGTAAAATTCCAGTCCAACGGCAAAATTCGTGGCGAAAGTCCAGCACGCTGCCACACTCGGCACGGCCCGCCTCGCCCTCTGACCTTCAATGATCGCGGTCTCGGGCTGCAGGCCGCCGACGAAAAATCGCGAGCACCAGGGGCGAGCAGCGAGCACCGAAGCGTCTCGCACCCCCACTCCGCCACGGGTGGGCGGCTCGACTTCAACGGATTGGTCAATGGGGGCGGAGGAATGTCACTGTTCTCGCCTGGACGCTTCCATTGGTTGCACCAGTCACTTACCAGCATGCAAGGAGCACTAACTGGAGTCCTGTTTAGCGATGCCTCAAGGTCCCCGGGTGCACTGGTTCGCGTGATATTTTCGATGAAGATCACTACCGTGCATTTTGAAGGGGACGTACTGATCTGAGATTACTGAAGACATTACTCTCAACGGGTTTTGCTGATGATTGTCGCAGGCTACATATTCGTGCGGTCTGCAATCAGCAGTGTCATTGTCAGCAGTGCGGTGTCTCCTCCAGACACTCGCCAGAGGTCTGGGACGTTTGCGGTGTTGGCCCACACCGCACTGAATACATTTCTGCTGTCCAAAGGCAAAAAGGCCTAGGCGCCGTTAGGTAACATAGCACTTCAGCCTTTTTGCCTTGGGATGGCAGATTTCAAAAAGGCATTTGTTGACGTCTCCGCAGGGATGACAAATGACGCCACGCATTTCTCACTTTTGATGATGTCAAAAACTATATTTAAATGGCATAAGGTTTGCGATCAATGTGTCCACGTAACTTCATTTTTCAAGGAGCCTGCGAGATTCGAATACACTTGCGCGCGCTGCATCGCTCCTTACACCATTCACCACAAAAGAACGACATGCGATTGTTTTTATGCGGCTCATCCTTACAAATACCCACGTTGCTAACCAGCATCCGCACATATCGTCGAACTGTACCAGAGCTTGCTCGCCATGCGAACACTCAACTGGTCACGCCGGTATGGACGCACACGACCGCAGCGTGGTGGGACCGTCCGAGCAGTGACCACAAGCTGTGCCGGCCGGCCACTCCTGTTGCGTCACTGCCACCGCCGGAGCTCGACCGCCTCGCGGCCGGGAGACGGCGCCGCCGCGGGTCACGACGACGAGAGGCGCGTGTCACTGGCGGGAGAGGGTCGGCGGCCTCCACCGTGGGGCAGCGCCGCCCTGCTGCCGGACGGCGCCGGCCGCCAGCAGCGGCGGCGGGCCGCGGAGGGTCGGCACGGCGCCCAGCAGACCGCGATGGCCCAGCGGCAGCAGGCCAGCGCAGGCTGGCGGGCTGGGCAGCAGCGCATTCATCAGCGGGGGCGGCCGTCGGCCTGGCGCCGTCGGACCGGCGGCCCTGGGCGGGCACGGCGGCCGCCGGCCGGTCGGCTGGCCCGGACACCGAGCCGCCACCTGCCTCTGCCCGGACAGCTGCCCCGGGTATAGGTGGCGCTGGCCGCCGCCAGGTCGGCCGAGCAGACCTGCAGCGTGAGCGTACGCCTCCTGAGCGGCGTCGTCCGGCCACTGCCCCTGCTCCAGTGCAGCGGTCTGCTGCGGCCCATACCAGCTCTTCACGGGCGTCGAGCCGTGCTGTGGCGCACAGCGGGCCGCGTGCGTCGGACGCCGCGGCGCGCAGGGGGACGCGCGCACCAGTCGCTGTGCGCCCTCCTGCCGCGCAGGACCGTGCGCCGCATGCCGCGGATCCTTCTGCGGCGTGCGTCGCGCCTCCCCGGGCGCCTTCTCCCGAGCGTCGTGTGCCGCCTCCCGCCGGCCGTCCCCAGCTGCCGCATCCAGCGGCGGTCCCTCGCGCGCTGGGTCGCGGCCGCCGTCGCGCCAGAGCTCCGCCCGGTCGCGCCCCTGCGCGGCCGCCTCGCCGGCGCGGGCCGGCCGCACCGCGGCCGCCTTCTCGTCGGCCGGGCCGCGGCGGCGCGGCTGCCGGAGGCGCGGGTCGGCGCGGCCGGCCGCCTCCGCCAGCCGCAGCCGCAGGCGGCCGTAGTCGGCGCGCTCGGCTTCCACCGGCACCAGCGCCCAGGCCAGCGGCGCGCCGGCCGCCGCCGACGCGTCGATCTCGGCGCACGGCTGCAGGTGTACCGGCTTGAAGGGCAACGGCAGCTCTTCGGCGGTTGGCCAGCGCGCCGCCTCCATCGGACCGGGGTCGGACACGCGAAAGGCATCGTCCGCGACGCGGCGGTCCCGTTCGGCCACCTGCAGACCCTTGCCGGCCACACGGAGGTCCTCATCGGCCACGCGCAGGTCTTGGTCGGACGCACCGAGGTTTCGGTGGGTCGTGTGGCGGCCCTGGTCCGTCATACGGAGGTCCTGATCTGGCACGCGCAGGTCCTGGTCGGCTATGCGCAAGTCGGTGTCGGACGAGGCCGTCCCACCATGGCCTCCTGGCATGCCGTCAGGCGCCACACCCAGCTCGATGCCCGGCAGCGACGACGATTCTGAGTCGATCTCCATGTCAACTATGGTGCCGCGCTCAACGCTTGGTCCCCGCGCTCCTTGTGCCTTCCTCCGCGCGGCGTTCGCGCTTTCTGAAGCGTTCTCACCGCACCAGTCGTCAGTCTCCATCACCATGACATCAGCCGCGTCGCCCCAGGCCGCGCCCAGGAGCTCACACTCTGCCGGCGGGTGCGTGGAGTGGGCTTGTGACCCCGTCTCGGTGCCCTCTGGCTGGCCGGAGCGGCAGCAGCTGCGCAGGTCGAGGTCGGCTCGGCTCGTGGCGGCACTCGTCGTGCAGCCGCCGGCTCTGGGGACGCGGTGCGACACGGTTCGACGAAGGACGTGAGGATCGGGACCAGGAGGACGGCACGAAGGAAAGAGACAGTGAAAACACGGAACATGTACTGGGGATGACGTGGATAATGTGCGCACTAGTGGCATAACATGGGTCCTATTCCACGTAGACGTGAAGATGCAGTACGGACTGGGGGAAGCTGGCCATCCGGGACTGGAAGTGGTAAGGCCGACGCGAGCACATACCCCCAGCGGTCGTCTTTGGTGCTGTTCTTGATCGTCATCAGCAGCTGGCTGATGGCCTCCACCGGGTCGATGTCGCCCGCGCTCCGCCGGGCTGGTCCTGCCGGCTGCGCTGGCTGGAGCACGCCAGCCATAACATGGTTTAACTCATACGCATGGCACAAGGTGAATCACGAACACGAAGCTCAGACTGCATGTGTGAAGCAGGGGCGCCGACAACCTGTGTTGAAGGTTGTGTTTAGCAGTCTTTTCCGAATCACTGATGATATATTTTGCCCTTGGTGCGGTGTGTCCGAGAAGGGAAAGATGAAGCGGCCATCCAAATGTTTCCCAACCACGATCGATCATTTGAAAGTTGTTTGCTTTTACATGCCCAAATAATCTCGACTGGCACAGGACTCCGCTTCATCACGTTACGTATGGTATTATCAGCCACACCTCAAATGCTCGCCACTGAAGAGACAGCCGTAACAGCAAAGCCACGCGGCGGCTGCGGGCGACGCCCCGAGGCCACCGGAGCGAGCGAGCTCCCGAGCTCCGGCAATTCCCGGCAGCTGTCCAGCTGCATCGCGCGACTGACGCCCGACTGAGAGCCGCCCGCCGGCGCGGCTCACCTCGGTGGAAATCTTCCTCAGCACGTCGGTGAGCGGCGGCGCGTCCTCCTCGTCGCTGGAGTACCAGTTATCCTCGGCCATCCGCGCCTCGTCATCGGTCGGCTGCGGCGTGTCCTGCCGCAGGGTCACCAGTCGCTCACCCCCGTGGTCATCAGCGCAGCAGTCCACTCACCAGCCGCCGGTAGGCGGTAGCCTGGTACCTGCAGGCTACAGCCATCATCTCACAACCATCCCGGGATAAGGCTAATGCTGTACATTAGTTTTCTTACATTTTGTGCATAATCGACCTTTACTTTCCGGCGAGCTGCCTGGGTAGTGCCACTGCACCCCTGCACACGCAGTCACCACGCCCGGGCCGGGTGCATTCTCACCTCTCTGGGCACGTTCTCCTTCTGCTGCTGCTGGATGCGCAGGTAGAGCTGCCGCTGACTGGCCGGCAGGCTGCTGACGTAGTCTCGGCCGGCCTCCACGGCCGCCGCCGGCGCCGTCGGCTCCGGCTTCGGTGCCGCTGGCGCCGGCTCTGGCTGAGGATGCCGCTCGGCGCGGCGGCGCCGGCGCCGCTCGCGGCTGTGCCGGCGCCGCTGCCGTCGCTCGGCGCCGTCCCGCCGCTCGGCGCCGTGCGGCCAGCGGCGCCGGCCGCCGCCGCTCTGGGCCCGCTCGGAGCGGGGCCGGCTGGACGCCGCGCCGCCGGGGCCGCGGCCCGACGCCACGCCGCCGCCGCTGGGCGTCTCCTTCACTGCGGCACCAGCAGCGCAGAGCCGAGTCAGCAGCGGCTGATGTCTGAGCTCGAGAGCCCGGGTCCGGGTCCGAGCGCGAGTTAGAGTTCGAGTGTGATGAGTCCACTCGTGTCACGCTGCATGCGTCCGAGTCCGATCACTGCCACAGTGCATTGGGATGAGTTCGCGTCAAAGTCAAAGTCAGTCTTCGGAGGCTTAGTCCGAGTTTCGGTCCGTTTCTAAGGCCTAATGTCTTGAGCCGGAGTCGAGTAGTTGCTTACTAAATAAAGCCAGACGAAGAGCCTGATGCAAGGCGAAATTTGCATCGGTAACCTCATGTTTTGCCGAAGCGACAGTAGAACCGTCACTGAAACGCCGGCCTGCGCTTATCGCCCTTTGCTAGCTTGGCAACGTAATCTGGCCTGTATTAGTAATGTGAGACCAAACTCAACCGAAATTGAATTAGGCAAATCTCACACACCTTCCCAACCTTACACAGCTTCATTGGTACGCATATACTTAACCGTACTATACTTTCCATCACTGTCTTTCACAAGTGGTGCTCTGCCATTTAAGCGCATCCCTCAACTGCCGTGAAAACCTGAATGATAACCATAGCTTTGTCCCCAATCCCATATTTCTAGAATATCTGAGTCGGAGTCAAACTCCTGTGTTCTTCCGGGATTCGACTCGGAGCCCTCCTTTTTAAGTAGTGCGTCTTGAATCAAATTCAGTCCAAGTCCAAATCATTGGTAAATCTGAGCGTTATGTATCCAGAAATCGATCCACTGGAGTCCGGCCATGAGTCCGAGTACGTCTCCGAGTCCGGTCGGAATCCGACCCATGTCTGGTTAGCATGCCGCAGGGTAAGAGGTGTCGTTCACGTGAATGTGGGTGTGGGCCAGAACGAATACCCAATGGTTTGGCTTTTGTGGAGCTGGGGGCCCGCACTGGGGCCCCATGTTCGGGGTCTGCGCAGATGCTCGGGCGGGAGCGGGACAGCTATATACGGCCGTGAGGTTGGTTCATGGCAGCCGGTGGCAACATGCTCGTGAGGTTGTGTTTTTGAGGCGTATTTTTTGCGTGGGCTCAGGGCAAAGTGGTGAAAGAGGAAACAAGAGCGGACGTATCAGTAGATGGTTAGCAGGGCCGCGGTCACGCAAATACAAGGCATCCGTATTTACCACCATCACACTTTCGTCTATACGCATCACAGGATATGAACGCTTAGCTGTTTGGATCAATTATTACAGGAATTGTTAGTAACGCTTGACTTTTCATGTCAGGACACTCAAAAGCTATCGCACGCATTTCATGTTGCCATTCAAAAGCTATGTGAAAGCGAGGACAAAAGAAAGCGCTTTGAGGCGCAGCTTATGACACTTATGAAGAGCTTATCGTGCCATTTCCGGAGCATAAGCTGTTTCCGGCTCCACCATGCCGAGCTGACGAATCTCGGGCTTACCTAGGTGGGTGTATCTGGTCTGCTCGATGTTGGGGAACGAGAAGTTGGGCTGGTCGCCGTTCTCGCGCTTGGCGGCGGCCAGTTCGATCATGTGCAGGGCGGTGGCGCGCCCCATGCGTGGGAAATCTCCCAGGATCTCGGGCGGCGCCGTGTCCAGGTGCTGGCGAGGCGCAGAAGGCGTGATGCACGGACAGGCAAGATGGCAGTCGGGCTGGATATGTATCCTGTACCATATACGGAAAACAGCACAGGTAGACACTTCGCCTTACCAGCATCACAGCACAGAACGAGCCGGGCCGTTCGGGAGTGTAGCTGGCACCGTTCACATGCACGCATGTACACGAGAACTGCCGCATTTTATATTTGGAGCACCCACACCCGCCTTGCACCAAAGTTCAAAACTCGCCCCGCATGGCAAGTTCCCCCCCCCCCTCCCCCCACAAGTGTGCATGAGCCCGCCAACTGTATTTTTCATTCCCGGTTCACATGCCGAACCTTATTAAATGATAAGTAGCAAACCAAGGAGCTGTAAAAACCTGCAAACATAGCAATCCATTCACTTTTTATGATAGGGCAGACACCCGATGATCCAAGAGCCGACGCGGCTCAACAAAAAGTCCGTGGGTTCCAGCATTCTGGAACCAAGGAACCTATTCGCAGTCACATCATGTCTGGCGCAGACGGCCACAGACGCAGACTTCTCCAAAGCAAACAACCTCAAGTGTGCATGACCAAGCAGACTGATTCATATTCCAAGACTAGTCAGAAATTGCGAGTAACAGACGTCACCATGTCCTGGTTAGTGATTGTCGATTGATGTCATCAATAAAATCGGAACACAAACGCACAACCGCCTCTCTGGCCACGCTGCTGTCCGCGGGTGACCTATGATCAATATTATTACGGCACGAGCGCGCTGTAAAAACGCACAATTGACGTGTACAATTTGAAGACAAGTCTTACCTTCAGCAAAATTGATTGCGTAACATCTGTCAAGGGCTTGTGGCTGAATTTGCACTTGTCATCTTCGAAACACCTGGCGCCAGTATGGAACATTTTGCAGGGGAATCCTTTGTGTAAATACAGGCAATGCGCTTCTTTCACGCAACATTCTTTGGCATAGAACTTGCACAGCTCCATCTTCCGCGGTGGAATTGCCTTGTGAGCAAAATGACACATTCTTCCCTGAAAGAATGCCAAGGAAGGTTACCCATTTCGCCGTTTGCTTGCCATTGGCAAGTGGCGACGTACACCGTACAATGATCGGCGATGGAATGTTGGACAAGTTAGAGACGGCATCTGTGAAGGCGGCTGCAACATCTGAGACCCCTGGGTCAGTTAAAGTTATGTGAAAGGATGGGGTGACACACATGCATTCGAAGTGTCTGACCTCGAGAGGTCACCGTCTGACTACGCATGACGTGATGCTGGTATCTAAGGTACCGACTTTGACACCCGGAATGCGATCTGCCAAGCACTGTGCCGGGTCATGTGTATGATCGTGATTTACTTTTTACCTGATTTCTGTGATATTCATGGAATCACTTCACAGGTGAGTTATCAAAATATGGACACCTCAACGTGTTCCGCGAAAAGTCGCATCGGTTCCATGAGAAAACTTGTCAGTAAACCGTAACGTCTAGTGTATACGGAGGTCACATTCTTCACATTCACTCGACGTAAGAGTTCGCAGAAAATAGCCACACGCTAAAAAAAACATGTGTCAACATTTCAGCCCTTTAACATGATGCATGCCTGACCGAGAGCCTCGGGAATCCGGCCAAGATGATCTACGGTTAACACGTCCTCATCATTATTATTCACGACGGTTCGGAAAATGTATACTCTGCTGGAAAAAAAATTGCACCCCAGCCCTGCATTCGGTTTGAAGGCGTCTCCCCGAGAACCCCGTGATACGCGGATGACAGGTACCCATCTTCGCCGAAAACGCGACACTGCCCGCGACACATTCCTGGCCATACGTCTGGACCCGGTGTGTGAACCGTTCTCCGTATCAATGCATGCCTCATTATGACCACGGGGCCTCGAAAAAAACCATGTAAAATAACTGCCGTATGGCAGGTTTTTATCATTTGTGGGAGTAAAGATTTTAAAAAACAAATGCTAAGGACAAGCATAATAAAGCGAGAAAATATTACCGCCAAATAATATGCATATATGTAAGCATATATCTGCAACATATTGATATACATATGTTTAATTCTGCAAAATAACGTCATAATATCGACACAAAATACACAATGCTGATGGGTACTGGGCACCATAATACCTTGAATGTTAACGGCTGAATCGTAGGCGCTGAAAATCTATTTAAGCGCATCCACGGCCGGCATACTCCCATACTAAGCCGGATTCCTGTTTGTTTATTCGCCAAGATTTGTAAAAACACGGTAAGTGGCGAAAAACTAGTACCTGCGATTTGTACCCCTTCTCAAGGTCGTGACCTGACTTCAGGATGTCAGAAATTTTGTACAAGACCACCAGAAGCTGGCGGACTCCCGTCTCAACTTAGTTCATCCCTTCGTAAAACATATTAAGGGAAAAATATCGGAAGTCCGGCCTTGGTTTTGTCAACACGCGGCGTGAGTTCGAAACCTGCGGAATCCAGTCCACGATAACATCCGGCGTGTACGCTTGCATGTGAGCTTTGTGCAATAGTTTCGAAAATACGTTTAGACGGTAACAGTCGGTACCTCATACTTCGACAAAACCTTAACATCAATCGCCGACATCGACAGGTAGCACATCCTGGAAATGCATTCGTTTCTCCCCGCATTCCACTGAAGTAAAACCAACTCTCTACAAGCTTGCTGCTGCGAATTTCGTTAACATATCGGCCGTATTGCGAGGTGGCCACACGATACCATTATGTACTAATGACACAGCAAGTCAAGTGCCTGTCCAATAAGCAAAACAACCCAAAGTTTGTTGGTTTTACGGGAGAAGCTGACCTGTGAGCTTCACACCGACGCAGGAAGCAGTTGTCATCAAGAGCTTTTCCTTCGATTTGCCCAGAGCCTAATCGTATAGGATAAGTTCCTGTACAAATGGCTCAATTCTTAATGCGCCCTGCTAGTCTAGACACGTAGGTCACAGCACAGGCTACCAGATGCAAGCTAACAACAGCCTTTCAGACACTGTATGTACACGCAGTGAAACGCCGCCTAATAAACGCTGACCCAATTGAACATCCCAGGCGATATGTTTGGCGCATGGAGACGAACCCTGCAAGAAAGGCAGATTGATACCATAACAAACCTTGTGGCATTTCCCTTGCATGAAGAAGCCACAGGTGGCCGAGGATTTACGCTTGGCCTTATCCGCTCTGCCCCTCTTCGAGCGAGGACTGGTGAACGTAGCATATTCATGCTCGTATCTTCCGTAGTGCGTCGCCACTCGCCTCGGGCGGTGGACTGGAGACGCACCACGCACGTAGACCGCGTCGTCGTCAGCCTCCTCCTCTGACCAGTACCGTCGCTGCAGACGACACATACAGATCGACATTAATAACGGCGTATTGTAGTCACGTAGGTAATCAAACTGTTTCGCAATTCGCACGCATGTGAATGTGGTGGCGGTTATGTCCAAGACCACAATATCTACCAGGTGCAGAGCAATACCTTTTCTGCCGTTTTTACGTTGGTATGTTCCATATCTCCAGACGCCTTTTCATCCTCTTGGTGGCCTCTTGGTTCAACAGATATTCCGTCCCCTGTGCTTCCGATGGTCGGATCTTCTGTGGGGGCGAAGGACTCCCCACTCGCCGCAGGCAGCGCGTCCAAAGCAGACGAAGCTGGAACTTTTTGCTCCACCGCCGGCTCAGAGATTTCTCCGTCGTCGTCTTCCAGCTCGCCTCCTCCAGCTCTCCATCTTCTAGATCACTGGCGCCATCTTTATTCATCACTCTCGCAACCTCAGCGACGCAGCATACCGGTTCAGCTGCGGCAGGGGGCTCTGCGAACAGCGGCTCCTCCGTAGCATGGGTATCCAACTCAGTCGGCTCCTCGGCCACCATAATTGCGGGCTTTGGGAGAAATGACTGTTCACTGGCCCTCCCTTGCCATGGACCGCTATCCTGTGATCTCAAACCCCAGTCGTTGGATACGGTGGAGGATCCATCCGCAATATCATCTTCCGCTGCCGTCTTCCACGATTTCCAATCGATCGTCGTCTGAATCCATAGCGATTCTGGGGGAAGCCGACGCACATAAAAAGCACGATTGCAAGAAAATCAGTCATTTGAAGGGCGTAATCGTCAGAGGCAAGCCACGATACGTTGTGACGAGAGCGTTACATGCACTTAAACAATGTCGCGGCAAATACGCGAACAAATGTACGTATCAACATCTGGGTGGCATGTTGCATTATGTATACATGCATATGTGTAGTTAGACGTCGCAAGCACGTATGCGCTTTTATATCCAGGAGCGGATTCACGGAGGTTAAGGGGTTTATGGCTCGCTTATTAACGATTGAAAAGCACTCAGATATTTTGCATACTATTTTAGTACTCAATTTCGGAGGGTTGGCGCATTACTTAAAACATGGCTGCTCAAGACATGGTGCTGGGTCCGCCCTTCATTGCACGCATGACGTCTGCACGCAATTAGGTACTAGTGACGCCATGTCACAAAATATAGGAATGTTGTAAAATCCTGAGTAAGTCATGATGCGCTACGCGACCACTGCTGAACAGCGCGATTTTCGGGGAAGTTGGATCGATCAGCAAGACCCGCGTTTCGATCAGTTTTCTGTATTACAGATCATATACTATAGATCCACAATGATAATGTCACTTAAAATATCCGCCTATTTTACTAATGGTCGGCTAAAAATATGGCACTCACACAGATGTACCGACTGGTGGAGCTAGATATGGCTCCCTACTTAATCCATACCCCCAGTTGTCAAAGCAGGTATGTGCCCGGTCTGCAGAACCCAAAGCGGTTTTAAGATACGGTATGACTTTATTCACATAAAACCTCTAATTGAGAGTGCTGTAAAACTACCGGAGTTTATTCTATTTCATAACAAAAATATGCATCGGATGTCTTGAAACACGTAAGGCACATGTAAGGCAGTGGTACTGGTGCCGTCAACAGTATAAGTTGAATTCAGCATTCTTTTGAGACATGCTTTCCGACTACACACGACGTGCCCTTGGCCACGCGTGAGCGTTAGGTTCCCACCAACTATTCAGTCATTTGGGATAAAAATAGATGACTTGCAAGGGGTAAATTGGCGTGCGTGTCGCCATTATATTCCGTGTGCCATTTCCCTCCAATGGATATTAAATGTGACCGGCAAGCGCTCGTTATATAATCCATTCACACATTCAGCTCAGCTAGTGGGGAAAGGGACGGTACGTACACGCTGCAAAAACGCAACGATACGTTATTTGCTGGCGCGGCATCACCAACCGAAGTGACCTGCACTGGTTGCTTAAACATCCCGAAAGTCACGAGCCGATGAGTCAGCACAACTCAACCGATTTGGCCAGGAGCGTAGAAACATCCCTATAAGTTCGAACGCCAAAGGTGCTTTAAATGTATTTTCATATATCTTTCTCTATCCTATGCTAATTCTATGTCAGACTGCCACCTACGCATTAGGCATGCGGATGAGATTTTCGTTCGCAGCTTGTCAACATAAGTTTCGTAAAAAGCTGAAGCTTTTCAGGCCCTGCTCCGTCGTCTATTAATGTATTTGGCTACCAAATGTAAAGAGTGCGCCTGGACCTTCACTGGGTCTTTTTAAAACACGTGGCTTTTTGCATTACGGTGCTCCGTTTTCGTAGCAGCTCTATGGCGAAACCAGCCGCTAAGCGAGGCCTCTTCCACTGAAGCCAACCTCTACGGCCAAACGACTCAAATAGTCAAAGCAACGGACTGCAGTATTGTTTTCGCCGCTTCTTAACCTCAGTAGGCTACTTTCAAGGGAGCGAACAATATGGAAGTTTGCAAGGATGGCTCTTACTAAACTGGGTCGCTGGCATATTGCAAGTAGTGAACCGCTCTTGCCACGTTTGAGGGTCCGGATGTGAAGCACGTCTTATCCGCATTTGCATCTTAGATCCGCATTTGCTTCCAGCGGCTCCGCGCAATTAATACGCATCCCCATTACAGTGGGCTCAAGATCAACTTACGTTTTGCAGAACCACGTCTGCGGTGGTCTATCACTCCCTTTTCCACTTGCAAAAAGCTGGCCCATTAAATATGTTGACTAAACGCCCAAACACATTGGATTGTCTTGTGATCTGTTCAATTGAGGTACAACCTCCACAAGCTCCTGCGAGCATGCGAGCTCCGATGGTGCGACAGCACATCACGTACCTGCATCTTCTCAATTGTCCGGTGTTTACTTTCGTGAAGTTTAAGAATTAAATACGGAAGGGTAGATATTTACATGATTATTTGTTCATCCAGTACCTTGGAATGGAACGCCAGCTGGTAACAGCTATGCATGTAATACAAATGTTAATGATGCTAGGTGCGATTAGGATCCGAACTGACGTAATAGGATCAATACGCGGGACGCATTTACCGCGCACGCCCTTGCAGTCAGGCTACTTCAATACGTAGACCGCTGTTGTTTTCGGGACAGGTGGGACGGAGACGAAATGCACCCGGAGCATGCATGGGGACAAAATCACTGGCGCCGGCGTATCCCATACTACCTCCTCTACATGACTAAATTTATCAGCATGATAATGCAACACGACTGAACAGTCTTGCAGACAGGCGTAGCGATGTAACGAACAAGATGTACGAGAGAAATGCTTAAAACAGTTGGGCAGCGACCAGATCACCTGAAGAGTTGATCACAGAGTTGGCACAGCTGATGCCGGTCGCCAATATTTCATGTCCGTTTCCTTGCAGAAATATTCTTCGCTCCCTACATAACATTTAACAACGCCAGCCGTACAGGTATCTGCTGTTCTGTTCGAATCGGTCGCCGAGTGTACAGCCAAAAAATTCACACGCGCGAGATATGAAATCTCGAGCGCAAGTTAACTGGGCACCTTCACTCTGGCGCGGGGATCAAGTCTTCCATTCATAAGTTGTTCAGTGCATTAGCGAGGATCATTATTCACATGGATAAGACAGCGGTATTAGCCTTATTCCTCGGAGAAAGAAAAAAACAGGAGAATGGAGATATGGTCCAGGTTGATATTTCGGCAATATGCCGTTATCGAAACAATAGCAGAAGTGAATCCATCACACAGAAGTGAATTCATCATCGGCAGGCAATCTTGAATTCACTTCTGCTATTGTTTTGACAAGGGCATGTTGCCGAAATATCAGTCCATGTCTCCATTCTCCTGGTTTTTCCGAGGAATAAGGCTAATATTACTGTCTTATCTACGAGTCTTCCAGGCTTCTACATGCATACGCTGATTACGGGCAGCACAAATACGTGCTGACAGTTGAGAAAAAACGGCTGCTAACTTTGATGTCTTTACACAAAAGGGATGCGGCACCTGGATTTTACGGAAGTGTTTCCTGGATTGTTCGGAACATTTTCATGAAATCTGTCCTAGGTTCGTTAGTCCTTCAATGCACCAGATCGCGCAAATAGAAATCAGATGCTTAAGGAGATACAAGGATTAAGGTCAACCAGATTCTCACCATGGGTATAGCAGCACGCCAAACACGGCCTTTGTTCGTCCACCACGCATTTTTTAGACTGTCCGATGGCAGAAATACGGACGCTGGACGATTTCACAAACTTCAAGCATTTACACCTTACAACTATATTTCCCTCCCCAATAGAGATCTACAAACATCGAAAGGCGACGCCCCTAAGCTGGCGCTTTATGGTGAGAAGCGACAAAAATGCACGCCCACCTTAGCGGCCAACAAACAGTCCTAGCATATACCTTAGTTTCACAAAATGAGTTGGGAAAGCTGAGCAGTCAAAAATGGCGCAACTTATCCCCAAAACACGACAACAAACGGGTTGCACCCGCATTTGGCCCAGTCTTTTTATGGTTGGGAGCCTGGGGCCCAATTTGGGAGGTGAGCTGGAGCGTCCGCTCTCGCAATGGAGTGAGAAACTACACCCCTAGCGCATACGAGCTCTCAAGTTTGGCTTAACAAAACCTGAACCTAAAAAGAAATAATTTGTTGACGCAAATGCGCCCTACTCCATGGCGCATTTCGATGTCAGCTTTTATAACCATATCTTTTCGAACGGTGTGGAAAATGTCGTTTAGTTGAGAACTTTCGGGTGGAGAAGGGTGGTGTCGGGTTGGGTCGGGTCGGGTCAGTTCGGTTTGGTTCGGTTCGGTTCTGTTCGGTTCTGTTCGGTTCTGTTCGGGTCGGGTCGGGTCGGGTCGGGTCGGGTCGGGTCGGGTCGGGTCGGGTCGGGTCGGGTCGGGTCGGGTCGGGTCGGGTCGGGTCGGGTCGGGTCGGGTCGGGTCGGGTCGGGTCGGGTCGGGTCAGGTCGGTCCGCGGCCGGGTCCGGGTTTGGGTTCGGGATCAGGTCGGGTCGAGTCGTGTCAAGCTGCCTTGCGTAGGGTTGGGTTGCATCGGGCCGGATCGGATCGGATCGGATCGGATCGGGTCGGGTCGGGTCGGGTTGGGTCGAGTCGAATCGAGTCGAGTCGAGTCGAGTCGAGTCGAGTCGAGTCGAGTCGAGTCGAATCGAGTCGGAGTCGGGTCGGGTCGGGAGTGCGTGAGTCTTCATTTGTCAGACATGGCAACCATCCAGGAAAAGAAAAGACCCTCCCCCAGATGTGCGCGGATGAATGGGCCCTGGAATGAGCAAACATGACTAGAAACCCGTTAAACGTCGGCAGGAAGTTAAGGGCCGAGCGTTATCTGGTACATCCTCACTACACGTCAAGTGGTTTACAAGTCCCTTCGTGAGGTGGTTTGGCGGCAATCCTACAATCGCCACTCCACTCAGCTACTAACATACTTCCCTCATGACATGTCATGTCATGACGTGTCATGACGTCATGAGGCCGCGGAAATAAAACAATGCAACGTTGAGCATGGCGAGAGCTTCCGCTAGACCCCTCATCCAGGGACGCGGGAACAAGTGGGGGGGGGGGGGCGGGAAACTAAGCCCCTTTCCCCTCCCTACCTCCCGAGAATTTAACATAGACCTCATGATGCTGACTGGAAAGAAAGAACACAACCACAATGGTCATCGGGCCGCCAACTTTGGACGGCTTCTGCTGGCCCTGCTTTCATCGGTGTGTTGCAAGCGACGCCGGGGTCGTAGCGAACAGTTTTGAACAGTCGACCGCAGTCCGTCCCCACAGTGCGCAACCGCGTTCCCAGTCAGACCTCCTCAGCAGGGGTGTAGTCTCATGTTCAGTTGGGGGGGGGGGCCTCAGTCCTCCCCCTTCAACTTTAGGAAGTGGAAGTGGGCCAAATCTAGGAAAAATTCGTTTGCTAGCTACCTTGCGTGCTTGTTTGAGTAATTTTTCATTGTTCAGATCCCCTCCCCCGCCCTCAACTCATTTTGTGAGACCTCACCAGAGCTCCTCAGTAAAAATTACTTTTAAGTAATTAATTAGTAGTTTTAAAATTAAGAAATGCGCTCTTCCCCCATATTTCAAAGACAAATGCGCTGCTGGTATCATCAACCATGCAGTCACGACTCACGGAACAACTTAAAAGTGCGCAAGCGTGTCGATCCCTCAAACGGCTCTGCTATCAGTGGCGTAGCCGGGATCTCGCCCAGAAGGTTGTTAGATCGAGGCATGGGGCCTTCCAAGTTAAGAGGCCCCATTCCGTCGTTACAGGGCCATGTCTCGGATTCATGGGACCTTTTCAGGCTCGGGATGCCATAGTGATGCCTCGGCGGGCTCAACGGTCCATTTTTTGTTTTGGAAGCCCTAGAAGCATCTTAAACTGAACAGTACTGGAGCCCTTGGTCCCAGTGGGTCCCGCCACCCCCTGGATGGAAGGAGGGTATGGCCCAAAAGGCTCCTTGACCTAGTCACTGTCATTATCCGCTAAAGATGTCTTCGCAGCGATTTATTGGATGTTCCTGAATTCATTCCACCAAACAACTTTACTCAATTATCTCAATCAATCCGCACCAGAAACGCGGCCCATTTATACACCCAAGAACCGCTGTTAGCCCGACGGGTCCACGTAAGCTTCACAAAACGCAGTCGATGCGTCCTACCCAACCAGAATGACGCGGTAGTAATATGCAACCAAGAACCATCCTGCTTTTTTCGTTGGTACAGTACCTGAGCCTGTCTGATAAGATCGCCCTCGTTACCGTTCGCGGCAGCAGGAATCCCACGTCACCGCACGCCGAGCAGGAGTCAGCGACAGAACCAATGACCTTGAAATTCCCGCCGTAATTAACGAGCTTGAGATCACATCGGATCAAGAGAGCATATTTTGCAGCGTATCATGCATATACAGGGTAACTCAGAAAATGATCGCTGGAAATTAAAAAAACTTAGCAATGTTGAACTAATAACAAGCACTTTTAGAAGAAACATTTAGTGAATTTGCTGTACTTGACATCTTAATCTCAGTAATATTGCTTTTCTCACAGTTTCCTTCACCTTGAGTTATGTAACTATTTTATGTGAGCAGAATCATGCGATTTATGCCTTTACGTGACGAGAATGAAAACAATTGAATCAGAACACGCAATAAGATCGCTCACGCCTCGCATCAAGCCTTGTAAGCATATATTTTGAACGTAGATATCATACCATTCACTATTTAAAGGAGATTCAAAACGTTTTACGTCTGCATAAAGGTTTTTCTGAAAATGCGTTTACTAGAAGGAACAGAAAAGATTTTTTTAAAAATTACATCCAACACCTATCTTAACGATCACAAATATTGTCACTGTGCATCGTCTTGAGCTGTAACGCTGTAGAGCAAAACACTGGCATTATAAAAGTATCACTATTGTGGTACTCATTTCCCTCTGGAACCCCGATAATATCGAGGCCGTGTAGAATTGCAAAGTAACAAAAATGAAAACTTGGAGAACGAACATAAAATGAACAGTATGGTGGGCTGCATTGGTGAAAGAAGCACATTTGGGTGGAGTGTTGTCTGGTCCGTCTCGATCCCCAATCATCTGTACAAATGGACATTCCTGATATATTTGTGGTGTAAAATCCGTTTGATTTGTCTTATCTCTATGAAAGTATGGGACTCATCGAACAATTTGCATTTTTCTGAGGCAAACAAACCAAAAGATAAATTCATACGCAGCTTTCCACGTATTTGAATCGTAAACACCTGCAAATTTTCCACGTCTGCAACTATTTTCAGTAGTAACGCTATAGACACCCACCCTACGGATGTTTGTGCACCTTCGCACTATGAGGATGATTCAGACGCCCCGTGACATCGCAAAAGCTGATCAAGCTAGAGTCACACGGAAACAGATATTGAAAGCTCTCGTCAACCTGCATCAGGTGTGCGAAAGTAATCAGTAACGAATGTGACTTTAAACGGGTCAAATCAGGTCATGGTAGTGAAACAACCACTTTGCAGACCGCCCCTGTTATATCCAGAACGAAAAGTGCTGTAACGGTGCAAAAGGCGGCATTAGATAGTTCTCGGAATGCTACGAGATGCAGGGGTATTGTTACGTATTCAGTTGAGGGGCTCCCACACCCCAACTTGGTCTCAAGGCCACCCACCCCCTCCCACCCTCCAGTTTTGCAGATGAAGTAGGTCAAATTAGGGAAATTAGTTTGCGTGGGTAGTTTTGGAGTAGTTTTTGTAGGCCTGAGCCGTTCAGCACTCCGAAGTTATTTGGTAAAGCTGTGCCCCTGACCAGACGGGCACTAGTGGACATCAACAGGTGTAAGCTGTGATATGTCGCGTTATGTCAGATAAATGAAGACTATTGCCGCATTGGCCCGTCCGGCTACATCTAAAACTGAACAAGTCACGTCAGTGG